GTCCGGCTACTGCTGTGTCACATAAAAATTACAACCAACAGGATAAACACATTCTCATTTACTTTACCTGCTGCCTCACGCAAATGGTTGGTTATCCAAAGAGTGGCAATTCCATTCCGGAAGTTGTTCGAAAAGCATACAAATATTACTCAAATACATCAAAAAAGTGTTACTGGACATTTGAGCAAGCATCATTTTACCATGCAACTCTTCAGCACGCACCATTTGAGCATGGCGACTTTTTAGCAAGAAGACATTTTAGCAAGGTGACAGTTTAGCATGTACCCATTTCAGCAAGTTGACAACTGAGCATGCAACACTGTATCATTTCAGCATGTTTTTTTTGGGGGGGGGGGGGCATTCAGCAGGAAGGACTTCAATTTGCCCTATACTGTATATCAGCAGTCAGTGGTCAAGTGCACACAGAAATTTCCACGAAGTACAAGACAATGAATGAGAATATGAAGAAACTACAGTTACTCTTCTGGCAAAAATACTCAGAAAATCTTCATGCAACAAGTTTCCTATAAAATGTCCATGGCAAAATGAATCAAACTTGTCAAACCCACTCATTTCACTTTTCATACATTGGTATTTTGTTTTCATGCTGAAATCATGCATGTGTAAAATTTGTGCATGCTCAATAATTTTATGTTGTAATGCTGAAATGGTCCCATGTTCATGAGTCCCCTTGCCAAAATGTTCAAATGCTCAAATGTTGCATGCTGAAGTGTCACATGCTGAATTGACGCTTGCTCAAAATTCAGATAACCTCAAAAATACATTTACAACAAAAGTCGTGGAAGTTGATCCCCATCGTCATAAATACTCGTAAATCGAAATCGTATTGTGCCGTGTATATCACCCGGAAAGTTGGATTGATTTGAGACTCAGCGTAAAAATGGATAACATCAACAAAAACTTTGCTCGGACCCAAGGTAAAAACGCCAAGTGTCTATACAAGGGAATACTGTATAAAAAGTCGAATGTTTGGCAATCCAGCAGATGAAAGCACTTCGGAATCAAATCAAAGATCGCGACTCCTTCCCTTGCCCTTTTTTATCTGACCCACCAGCAGAGAATCGCCAAAACGTTTCCAGGACTTACCATTCCTTCTCAAGCGCGTTCGTGGGATTGCAAAAGCTTATTCCGCAGAATTTAACCCAGCTTCAGCGAAGGATTCGCTAACTAGAATTGGCAAACGTTGCTCCCTCCGTAGCAATATAGTTATTGTATCGCATCGCTCGGTTGGGGACTCCAGCATCGCAGGGGTTCCGATCGGGTCGCGTGGCTCCTGTCCGGACCCATCCGCCGGGGTCAACGTCAAGCGCCCGGAACGTTCTCCGATGCCAAGACCACACGACAGCCAACCAACAGTTCGCTGCAGCAATGCAACGGATCCCCTTTTGATCGCAGAACCCAGACCAGACCGAACCCATAGGGTGGTTTACCCTCTGCTCCCACCGCCAGCTTCAGGGTATTGTTGTAATCGACACCGACGTTAAACTGCCTTCCCCCCTGTGGGTGACACAGTATGAGTTCTGAGTGTGTTTTCAAAACAATTTTTTTTTTGAGAATCAGAATATAAAGCCTTCAAATACTTAGCGTATCGAAGCTCCGGATTTCTCAAATCACAGAAGAACCCCCAGACGCAGTTCTTTCGTGAATAATTTGGAGGCTTATAATATATGTATTGTACTTCTCGAAGTACGGGCTTGTATAAGCGTCGTTAATTTTTGGAACACTCGTCATCGCTTGAGTCAACAAAAATTAGAAATATTTTTTCCCTAAAAAGCAAACAACTCCGGAATAAAACTGAAACCCAGAAGCTTCAAAAAGGCGGGCATGACATTTTTATTTTGTGCCTGGTTCATCCTCTCACATGCCATATGGTGTAACTATATCTTTTCTGCAATCCTTTTCTTGAAAATAAAAAAGAGGAGCCTAAATTAAAACTGGAATACTGTAATGTAATAGAAAATTCTGTGTATCCGAATGCGTGTCGAAGTTATGCGCCCTTCGTCGTCGGGGGTTTAAAAAAGTCAGTCATATACAAATATTGGCGCAAAAATGCTGCATATGAAGAGCCTCTATAGGGGTCCTATTACAATACCAAAAATGTGCCCAGAAAACTTTTGATGAATCATAAAAATTGCTTGAACAGCAGTCGTAGTTTCCATTTTCTTCTGGAAACTGTCAGTTTCTTTATATTACTGAGACCTGCTATGGAAATATTTTCAACACCTGGATCAATTGCTAAGTCAAAAGTCACTAATCAAGAGGTACAGGCGATTCATTCTTTTGCCAGAAAGCAGGCGATAGTTACGCGTGAACGAAACGATTCATGGAAGCTCTGGATAACAAATATTCGAATAAAAATGCAAATTATTCAGTCTTTGTCAGAGACTCTTGGTGGACGCTGGCTCATGCTTGGCAACCATAATACTGTACAGAACGTTTAAGCAGAAACTGTTGTACAGTATTACATTTATAACTTGCTTCCTTGGGAACACCGGAAAAAAATTTTCAACTTCACCCGTTTGAAAGGACAGCGCATATTTCTTTCAGTAAAGTACGAGCATATGAACTCATGAAGTAAGCTACAGTATAATCTTTCATCTACGGCCATTGCAGAATACAGGCTGTTTATGAAGTGTTATTTGTAAAAGATTCAATATGGAGATGAATAAACAGGCAATTAAATTGAGTCATGGATTTTTTTTTCGCGCGGGGAGGAATGCTTGAATTGTTTCTCTCCATTTCTTTCTTTTTAAGGCCTGAACGCCGATGAAAATGGGGGATCATCCCAGGGACTATTATACCCGTCGTGACACACGTGTGATGGATTCTTCATCTCCTCTAATATCCCCTCTCGCCAAATGTATCCTTGTGCGCCCTCAGTCTCATTACTGCTGACACTTCTCTATATTTCCCAGTCCCCCTGGGCCGCTTAATTGCTCACTGGAAACCCATCCTCCCTCCAGTGGCACACTTTTTTTTCAGGGGATGAATTCATGTCCGGGGCAATAGACAGGGGGTTCGAATTCTCACGAATTTTTTTTAGACCTTGTGGCGGCGGCCGCTGCCGTTGGTCCATCCCTCCTCCCACGTTCCTCCGGATTTGATGGATTATCCTTTGATGTGCAGGCAATATGCAAAGCGCGTGTAGAGGCTGAGATTTGAATGGACTTGCCTTTTTTCGAGCTCTTCACAGTGGAGCAGTTTTTTTACGGAAGTGTGTAGGGGCCAGGGGTCATCTGAAAGTTCTATGACTACATGTCTTAACGGTAAAGAGATTTCCTACTCTTCGAGTCTTCGGCAGTATAACGGATAGTGGACTTCAATGACGAACATTCATAGAGGAGCCTCGTAGCTCCTCTAGCAAACTTCTGGCCAACAATAAGAGTTTTCACGATTTATGACCTAATTTGAGAGGCACTCGTTCTTAAATTAAGTACTGTATTCGGGAACACACACGTGACATCTTCGTCTGGATTCAAGATCAGGAAGGTCCTGAAGGATGTACTCGTATAGTAGTGTACAGCACTTAAGAGATCACAAGTTTTCTGAAAATTTACACTCAAGAAAATCTTGATTTCGATTCTTTCAGGTCTTCAAGGTTTGTTTGATAAATGTTTTCAGAGTTATGTAAATCTCCCTGTTCCCAGTTTTTGAGAAATGAGTAGAATCACATTTCTGGTTCTAGATATATCCATTAGACTGACTGAAGAACATTGCTCATGCACTTCTAATTTTTGAGAATTTCTCTGGCAATGAAAAACTTGGTCCAATGATATGTCCCATGTATTTCACCAATTCCTAGAAGTACAGCACTAATAATTACATTTTAGATACATACTGATTTTGTTCGAATTTACCATTAAATCTCTGTCCCATCACTGAAATGCACAATGTTAAAAGTTTTTGGTCGTCAAAGAATGCAAAATCATGAATCACGTTGCTGTTACAATATTTGTTGTTAAAGTACATATTTGACGAGGTGAGAATGAGAACAAATTCATGAACAACTGCTTTTGCCAATTTTTCTTTTTGATTCAATATCAAATAACAAATACTGTGACTTATGCAGTACCCCTGGCATCAGATGCAATAATCGGGGCACTTTCGAGTAGGGAGACCGGGTTGAAAATGATTCAACCCCACGGGATTTTCAAAGCTAGGGTCAAGAGAGGATCAGTCAACATGTCCAAGGGTGTGTGAATCAAATATACCCGTGGGAAGTTGGTGCCCTTCATAAGCAGTTTCAAAGTATGTTTTGTTTTTAAAGCCAGTTTCTTTTGAATTGTTCGTATGAAATTTCATCGGGCGTTTCGGTTCAAATTACTGTCAATCAAACTGGTTTCAATAATCGTCTTTAAACAATATTCATGCTGACATCGTGAGATGTAGGAATGTGCGTAAGATGAATGATGTAACAACAAAAGAAAATTATTAATAAAGAAGATGTGAGGAATGAACTAAAAATATTTGGAATACGACACATACAGAAATTCATCAGACATGAAAACGGCTTTGGATGGATGAACAAAGTACGAATTTTGGGCTACCTTTGGACGAATTTTCCTACAGTGAGCTCTCCAGTGTTTCCATTGGAACACAGTTCAAATGTCATTATTTTGTCGTTGATCTTTAGAGATCTACTATAGAGGATCAAGTCAAGACATCCTTGCAAGACCATATACTGTATTACAGTATTACTCATCAAATAATTCAGGAGTCTGGGCAACGCAATACAGCTTTAGAGCCAGTAGAACCAGAATTTACCAACTGGGATTTGGCAACTTTGGCAAAGAGGTGGCATGAACCCTTGCTAACCAACCCTAGCTCAAGAAGTATTTTTCTGACCTAGCGGGGGTTTGCACGGATAGGCCTTTAGTGGCTGGGGATTGTGTGTTCAGAGTTTTCTAAATAGGGTGTCTGTTCCATCATTGAACTGTACTTCCCTTGATCAGAAGAAAAAACAATTTGGAAGCAAGCAATTATTTGCTCCTTTGAATATATTTATTGGAAGAACAAGCTCCTGATCTCAGTTCAAGCCGATGGAGGACGTAACAAAATCAATATTTCCCTAAATATAGTATTTCCCACAGCAATTTGAGGCAAGGCACAAGATTATCACACACATTTTTATAAATTTAGTCCTCCGGTAACATCAACTGCAGCACCAGTCATGTAACTGCTACGGTCCGATGCAAGAAAAGCCGCAACTTCCGCAATTTCTGAGAAATACATTAAATTTGTAGATGAAAACTCAAAAACTGAAGGAAAGCTCAAAATACCTTCCGGTCTGCCAAATCTACGCAATGGTATGGCTGGAATGATACGGTCCTTGACTTTGTCAGGAACAGCTTCGGTCATCGGAGTATCGATGAAACCAGGTATTATCGAGTTCACTCTGATGCCATGCCTTGATTACAGTACAAAATTGGTCATTTGAAAAATACTGCAGTCTCATACAAGAAGTTTGAAATAGCACCTCGCAAGCTCTTTGGCAACAGTCGACGAAAGTGCCAAAACGCCAGCTTTGGATGCTGCATAATTACTTTGCCCAATATTCCCATTCTTGGCGACAATGCTTGATATATTGACGATTGATCCTTGAATTCCGTGCCACACCATTGCTTCGCCGAAGATTTTATTCACGAGGAAAGTTCCCTGAAATTTAATTGTTTTATTCATAGAAAAAGTAAGGTATCCTGAACTAAAATGCTATGAAACCCACCTTCAAATTCACAGAGAGAACCTTGTCAAAATCTTCTTCTGACATCTGGAATAGAAGGTTATCGCGTGTGATCCCGGCAGAATTGACCACAGCATCGGCAGGTTTGGAAAACGCCTCCATTGTGCGATTCAACGCAGATTGTACATCTTCTGACGAACTGACATCCACTGCAACACTCAAATGCTTGCCATTGTCCATTCCTGGATATCCAGAAAAAATACATGAATCATGATCATTCGAAGTTTATGAAATCTTTATCATTCACCTCTTAATGATGAAATAACTTCATCAACTGCGGTCTTGTTCACATCTCCTCCGATGACTGTCGCTCCTTCTTGAGCAAAACATTTACAAATAGCTCGTCCGAGGCCACTTCCAGCACCTATAAATAGCAGAATGTGTGGATGAAACTCAATCTTGGTGAAGAATTATTTTCTTACCTGTGACGAAAACTACTTTGCCAGGAAGCAGAAGACGACCAACTGTCGCGCTCATCGTACAAACCTTTCAACTGCATGATCAGGATAACTAGATATCATAAACTCAAGGAATGATAATGCAAATACTATATCAGGTGTTCAATGAGCCATTTATTGTCCTTCGAATACAAAATCAGTTTAGGTACAGTAGCACCTTACAATTTATCAAGAAAACATGGGAAGCCGTCAAAATGGAGTGAGCATAACAAAGAAGTATATTGCTCCACGCGACCATTGTCCATGTTTCACTCATTCTTTTAACGATTCGAACAGCAAATACGAATAAAAAGAACGCGAATAACTAGAAAACTAACGCTCAAGCACTCTCTCCGCATCATTGCAAATGTTTCTTCATACGTTCGTTTCACTGATTCGGAGCGTTACCGAATATCCCAATACATGCGAAGAATTACGATCTAGAAAAAAAAAGGAGAACTATTGAATGAATTCGAACCCATTTTCGTCTGGTCGAAAGGTCAGCTTCACAATTCACGCCTCCGAGAACTTTATGATAAAGACTCTCATCTCCAAAATAAAGCAAACCGTCACGGCAAATCCGTAAAAAAAATATCTTGGTAAATGCCATTCATTCGTCTTAATAAAAGAAAAAGAAAAACAGTTCCGGACACATTATCTCCGCGGTTAGCAAGCGTTCACAAATTTCAACCCGGTGTAGCAGGCAGGGCGTACTCCCCAGGTACAGCGTACTCCCCCTGCAGGAGGATTAGTCCACATCCGCGGAGTGCGATTCAGCAGAGGCTCTTCTGCAGTGATCACTTATGCAGTGGTATCTTCCACAGAATTCAGAGGAAAGTTGATTCCACAGTGATTCTTGAAGCAGCATTTACTTTGGCAAAAATAATGATGAATTCTGCGGAAATCTATTTTCAGGAGAGGCCTTGGAGCTATCCCACTTGGGGGGAGCCATGCCCAAACCAATGCTCTCATAGATGTTGCTAAGAACAACACACAGAATGTTATCAGCAGCATCCATGTGTGGCTCTCAAAAATGAATCCTCTTTACCCCAATTATAAGGTCAGGTTATGTTAGTTAATAATTAATGCAAAAGTACAGTAGAACTTTGGACAAGAAAGTGTTTCAGACCTTGAAAATGCTTTGTCATATACGAAAATTCATCAAAAATAAATTTAAATAAGAATGTTGGGGCAGGGACTGAAGAAGACATTTCTCCGAAGCATGAACAAGATTCGTTGCAACAAGATGGAATTGGCTCTCCTCTGAATTTCGTTGAAAGAACTACTGCATGTGTTCACCATGGAACTTCACTCCGCGGATTTGAATAGACCCGCCGGACGGCATAGTGCACACTGGAGTACACCCTGCCTAGGTAGGGTGTACTCCTGGAGTGCATCCTGCCTAGGCAGGGTGCACTCCTGGAGTACGATTTTGGGGGGAGTACGCTGTGCCGCCCACACCGGAAAACATCGCATGCAGCAAATGGACGCGGACATGCTTGTGGAGAGCGACAAAGCTTTTCCATGGAGCTTCTCGCCCGATCGGCGCGAACAAAGTGTGTTGGAAAAGCTGCGAAGCGCGGACGGAATGTCTGTAATTTCGTTCTCAATCCCTTAGAAATAGAGAAATTTGGCAGAGAAACGTCGTTAATGACTTCTGACGGAAAATTCTGCACAATTTTATACCTTCTCGAAAACACAATAAAATTCCTTCGGGACAAGGAAGAAATACCCGAATCCATCAAAAGCATTAAAAAAAGCTATTGTCAACTTTGAAAATTCAGTTTCCAGCGTGATTTTTGTAGTAAAAACTGTCAATTTTTCGTGGTGCATCACTCAAAGCTATGGTTCTTGGCAGTCTGAAGTCCAGTGTGCGAGATAAGCTCAGTATGCTAGGCGTCCATTGTCCGGGGTATACCACAGTACCATTGTTCAGGAACTCCAAACTCGCTGTAATTTCAAAATTTCATCTCTCATACACAGTACAGAATACTCGTATAACGGTACATCTTGTCTGCCCTTGACCCCTAGCTGCATGTGTTTCCAAGGCGACTTGGAGAAGATGTTTTCAGCGTCACCTTAACCAGCACCGCTTGTCGACTTCCGCAAAGTCTCCATTCGTTAATTTTGAAAATAGAATAAAAAGTTTGGAATCGAGCATTCTAGCATCATACAAGCGAGTCCCGTTGCAAATCCAGGAAACGATATCAGGTATGCAACACAAGGTTTGGTAACATTTGAATACGGAAGCCATGTTTCCTGTCAAAAACTCGTGTTCAACCTGGCACAAATGCAGCGGTTTCTCTCGACCGATGCGTTAGATTCTGAACAATAATTTTTTTCCTTCGAAAAAAGTTTCGATCATTTTTCAACCTGACTTTCTCTCTCTCAGCACCCTTTATTATAGTTCAACTGTTTCTCCTTGTCCTTGTCAATTGCACACACTGTACTGTATTTCGCATGTATAGCATCCGAACTCCGGTTTGAAGAGAAAACAATGGCATCACCATAACGGTTTGCGTATATGCATACGAAAACCGCATGAGGACCATATGATGAAATGGAAAGTGAGTTTTGTTCGCATTGAAACAAACAAACTGCTCTTGAATTACAATCTGGATGTTGTACTCCAGTGTTATCAAGAGTGAGCGATGATAAGGAATTTAAATCCCGGAAATCAATTCAATTTTTCAGTGAATTCTTGAATTTTCTGCCGGAAAGAATTTTAAAGTTTTATCGGGAATCTTTTTGTTTCCTTTTTTGACGATCCATCGCAACGTGATTCACTCTTCAATTTAGATCCGGAAGGGATGTATGAATTATTTTAGTACAGTATACTGTATATGAATTCCAAGAATCTATTTTGAAGAGTGATATAATGTCGATTCAACATAGTAGCGTTAACGTGGCCTTTTTCTGCGTTCCGAAAACGGAAAATGCTTTCCTGCGAATATGAAAAAAAACAATGACTTTACAATCTGTGCTGCATGAAAATAGATCACTTTCAGCATATCCAAGCAATATAGTAAAGAATAAAAGTCTTGAATAATATGGATTGGAATATTTGGTGAAAGTTTCAGTGGCAGCATTTTTTTAAATATTTTGAAGCAAAATAATAGATAAAGAAATAAAGTGACTGAAGAAATTCAAAGAATTAAGCATGAACATCTTACAGCTATATATAACCGTGTTTTGAGTAGAATACTGCATGCAAATATTTTTACTGCGTCACATTTCAATGAAAGATCGAAGAATTTTTTTTAGGGAATTATGCATTTTTCGGGGGTGCATATACGAATAGAAAAGAAACTAGAATTCAATGGCCCACATATTTATTAGTTTCTGAGAAACACTGCATCCTCATGTCTTTAGAATTGACGGCTATACATTTACATTTTCTCGAAATAAATATTGTATTAAAGTATGTTTAAATCCTTCGTTTTTATTACGTCCAACTCGATGCGGTCAAATCTAAAATACGCTTGTAAAAATTATTTAGAAGCGTTCGTGTTGATTTCTTCCCTCGCTGAAACAAGCATATTCAAAAATAGATGATCAGAAATCTGGAAAAAATTACCGGTTTTCATAATGAACGAATCAACAAGAACATCTGCTTGCTCATTTCAATGAAAACATGCCAATAATGGCATAAAATCTCGCTTTCCCTTGAACATTAGGAAGCCGAACTTGGATGCAATCATCAGCGGAAATATAAATTGATTTCAATGTAAGTCACTGGGTGCAAAACAGACAACTTTTTATAAAAATTCATAAAATCCAAGACAGGCAGTTCATCAAACATGCTCTAAAAAGCCCTCCTCAAGCTAAATCTGGAAAGGTTAGCTTCTCATAAGTGTATAGTCTAAGAGGAACTTCGGAAGTGTGTGACGTTTTGATTTTTATCAATGTTTTCTTCTTCCATCCTTCTCGATAGGATGAGTGCGTAAAGATTCTTTCCTCTCTTCTTATTCCTCTCATCGTAGAGACTAGAAAGGATGACAGACGGAAGACAAGCATGCCGAGTTCAATGTCACCAAAGGCGAAGACGTGTTTATTCCATTCCCCCCGAGGGACTCCATGAATAAGAACAAGGAGAAAGAAGAATCCGAAGTTCTTGGGAGATTTCGCGAATAAACATCGTCACGCCGATGCTGGAGATGAGGCAATTCTCGATACGGCTCTTTATTATATTGCACAATCGTACGTGAATGATTTTCTACCAACACGGGTGTATCTACATCATACCCTTCGATCTGTACATCTCTTATGAGAAATTAACCTCTGAGGTGAGATGAACCCTTGGGTCAACTGTAAAAAAAAGCATCTCATTTGTTTTTGAACCCATGAGCATATTTACCTGACACTCAGCAGCAGCAGTACTGTACTCAAGGATTCTCCGAGAAACTCTGAAAAATAAACGATTCGATTGCGCAACTTCACCGTCGAATATCGGACGCGATGACCATCGCATACTTGTACATTTTATTCATAAATTCCACGATCTATGAGGGGTGAGATCTCGTCGTTTTAGGGATGTCAGAGAAAGTTCCGAAATGAAACTATCCTATTTCCAACATCTCATCCCGAAAATAAGCGATAACAAGTACTGAATATAAGCTTTCTTTCCTCTCCAGTGCGTAAAATCAAATGAATTTTCAGACCATAAAAGTGAAGTCTCTTTATAATGCATTGAATTCTTCTGGCCCACCTAAAATTTAAACGTAAAAACGCAAAGTTTTGCTTTCCTGAATGTCCTCGTGAAGAATTCAGCGTGTGCAGTCAAGTGCGACGATGAAAAGATCTTTCCGCCGCAAGAAAGTCTACGGATAACCTAGTTCTACTCGCCGATTCACTTTGTTCAAATCCAAATATCATCCACAAGGCTTTGAATTGAAATATCCAACGTGCTGAGAATCGAAAACCCGCATACAATACCATGGTTTTTTTTCTTTCTTTTTTTTTGGATTCAAGAACAGGCTAGAACGAACTTCATGGCGTAAAACCAAAGACTTCTGCGCTGCTTGTCGACTCTTTTGAGTTTTCACAGAAAATACAGGGTTGGCATGGAAATTCGACTGTTTTACAAAATCTGCTGAAGTCCATGCACATATATACAGTATATTCGAAGAAATGTGTACATATTACATGAAAAATTCTAAATTCCTGCTTTTTCACAAGAGATTCAGTCGATGATGGAGGAAAAATTCAGACTTTTCTCGGCCTTGAAATCAATTGAGAGCTAAATTGGAAACAGAAATCTGCTGCAAGCGCCGTTGAAAACAAATTTTATTACACTCCATCACGAAACTCGTTAGAAAACGAGTACAGCATATAAATGTCTCCTAAAATGTACAAGGTATGTCGTTTGCTTAAAGTAGTCTTCCTTCAAGCAAAAGCATTGGAGAAAATGATTATGATTTTTTAATTTTTACCCGGTAAAATAGTGTGATGGTAAGAGCGAAAAGGTGAAATGTTCTTTGCTGTGTTCCGTATTAACCAGAAACATAAATAAATACGCGTAAATAAATTCTACGCCAGTAATCCAAAAATACTGCTATACTGAAGGTGAAACTACACATGGGGTGTATATGAATTTATTTTTTTGAAGAAGAACTTTTGCCATTTTCAACACATAAACGTTGTTTTCAATATTTGAGACTGTAGTTTCAAAGAATAAAAAAAAATCATACACGTAGTTTCCTCTGCGAATCTTGAATTATCACGAATTTCTCACCACAATGTGTATATACTGTCTAAATAATACGATTTGGCTTGTATTCAATACTTTACAATATTTACTCAAGTACCATGCGCACCGTTTCTTTTTAAAATAATAAGGTTACGCGTGTGATACCTTGGTATACACGTTTCATAATTTGAAACTTTTGCAGATGTCTTTTGGAAATAAATTTCAACAAAAGTAAAAAATATATATATATATATAGGCTCAAATTAAATAAGTTCTAAAGCAGTCCAAAAACATATTTCCTTCAAATACTATACAGTACTTTAAAAGGGGTAATCTATGCACTTTGACCAATATAACTGACCTGACCTACGAAAATCTGATTGAACACATTTTGCAAGAAAAAATAGCACAAGCTGAGATGGGCTATATGCTGGTGAAACTTTTTTTTTTTGCGCATTCCCTCCCATTTGGCGCGTATTTTTGCCCATAATAGGTCTTCTGTGCGTGATTTTTTTTTGGTGTGAAAATCGATCATACGATGCCTATTTTTTTAGCAGTTATTTTTATTCGCTTTTCTAAGGATTTCTCTTCTCATGCCCAACCCGTGCGGAACGTGTCAAGGAAGCTCGGGCCCCGTCTGGGAGCTATTGCTCCAGGGCCGTTCGCGGCAAAGGCTGACGAAAATGTTGATCACATGCATACAGAAATAGAAGTTCTTGTGTCCCAAACGTCGGAGAAGAGCTTTGTTTTTTTTGCCGAGGGCCACAAAACGGAGCATAAAAATCCTAGTCGGACGTCCCGAGCGTCGGTCAGTCAGTCCACAACGTCGATTGTCACACGCAACAGAGAAACGCGGAAATGTGTGGAACGCAGTCGCCGCGTACAAATTTTTTTTCTCCCTCATTCTTGCTCACTCTCTCTGTATGCTGCATTTGCTCTTAATTTCCCACCCAGTTTCTCTCTCGCCTGAGTGGAAAGTCTTTTGTTGTGAAAAACCAATGAGTCTCAGCTCAGAAACAGTGAAAGTCAGGTTTTCTAGAAAATCATCTGCCCGTTTCAGCGACGCGATTGAAAATAGCCACTTCCGGGAGATCTTTTAAAAACTTTATCCGCGTACTTATTGGGACTTATGAAGCGAGGGCATTTTCCGCGGCGAAATCAGATTTCAAAATTATGATGACCTTTTAAATTCCAGTGGAATGGTATCGTCACAAAACCCAGATAATCCAATTAAAATGCTTATCTATCACTGAAACCGGGCAACAGTGAGGAGTGCTCAAAAAGTGATTTTTCAAAATAGTGAGAGATTTGGGCAATACAAAAGTGTGTTTTCTGCAGCATTTTTCGCAAAAATAAATTCAGTTTTGAATCGTTAATATCCAGTATTTCCTTGGTAGGAAATTTTCTCGGATGTCCGACATCTAATTTCGAAAAAAAGTTGTATGCCAGTCTATAATCCTTATTAACAGAAATAACAGCAATATGTTTGAACCATCAAAAACAAAATATCCGATGCCAGAATTAATTTTTCATCTTAAATATTCTGATGAGTTATTGAGTCTTTCTTTGGAATGACAATCACCACATATTGGGGATACAAATTAAAGAAATATTTGTGCTTACTTCCAAAGACAGGAAGATAATTTCATTCTCCATCCACACTCATCATGGAAAGATTCACTGAATAACAGGATAAATTCAAAGTTGTACCGTTCCATTCGATTTCACATCCATGCATCAGCAGGATTTTTAATTCTTAAAATTAAATTTTTCCTGTAATTACTGCCGAACGAATATCTTTCGGAAGACCTGAATTTCTCACCCTTGACGAGCGAGATATAATTTATTGATTCGAATTTAGTGTTCTTCGTGAAAAAAAATAAGGTGTTCCCACGAGTCGAAGAGGTGCGTTTATTTTTCGCGGTTTCGCTGGCAATGTCAACCCTGGGATGGCGGGACAAATTTGAACTCGCTTTTTGTGTGCCATTCCTATAAAGCGACTACGGATTCCGTTATTTTTCATGATTTTTAAATAAATATGTTTCTGTGTGCTCGCCGTTATCAGCGCCTTTTAGCTTGGAATCACTTCATAAGCGATGTGCCGTTTGGATGAGAAACACTTCCGCGGGTCGTGCCGGATATGTGACATCAACTACGAGGGATTTTTTTCTGTTATCAATAATAATTTTCTTTCAGTTTTCAACAAAAGCTGAATTGACGATGGCAGAATTTTATGCGCTTTTCTGTGGTGCTTTGTAGAATCGAAGTAGAGTTAATTTCGGCATATTTAAAATTTAATGTAATTGCTATAATGATCAAAAATTAACGTTTTTTTCGATGTGACAATATTCAATATAATACAATAGTTTCGTTATATATTTGTTCGTGAATATTGTATTTCCAAGCATGTACATCTTTATAATTGTTTAAGTAATATATGAATCGAGGCATACATCGAAATTGAAAATGCTGTAAAATATACACACAAAAAGTTTTAAGGCACGTTTTTAAGCTTTTTTTTTCAAAAATATTTATTATGGCCCCACCAGCCTTGAATGTTTTATGAATTTGCTGTCAGCCTAAGTTCTACATTTTCAAATTATAGTAATAAATCTTCTTGTTGAAAATTTCTTAGATCTTCGAACGATTTTAAAATGTTATTTTCGACGTTTTATTTGATTTGTTCATGATGCTGAACGTTAAAGATTCCGTTGAATCTCAATCGATGTGGAAGAACCTGCCCCGATCACGGGGTGTAATTGAGGATCATTGAAGAACAAGTTTTTTTCGAGGATTTTTTATTTCAGCTTGTGTATACCCAACGTGCAGTACTTAATTTCGAGGCATTGTATTGAGGAAACCCACGAAACATCCCGTTGAACTTCAGCATGAAGTAGCGAATGGAATAAGCAGCAACATTTATTATTTTTTTTTTTGTTATGTCGTGGGAATTTACGTAAAATTCAATAAATTCTACGACTTGCATAGTTACGAGGTGTAATGCACTCGATGGCACGTGTTAATTTAAACAGTCAGCAGTATCCCTTATCGCAAGCGCCCCGAGAAAGAAACAATGAACTCATGACCTAGAAGGAAAACAGATGAGATTCTCAGATTTTTCACCGTATTGTTTGGAGAATATATATTCAACCCATTTTTTTACGCCGACGAGGGCTTTATCTCGACAAAAATAAGCTCTCCGACGTCAATGGCGAGGTCATATTACAATTCCCGTTTCCAATCGAAATATACATTCGATTTAAATCAATCCTTTATGGATTTCAAAGATTTACTATATAGGCATGCATAGTTTATGAGAGTACAGTATAAGTAAAAGGGTGACGCGAAAATTTTAAACCTAATTTTAAGCAGTATATCAAAGGATTCATACAATTATTGTTCATGGTTTCATCGAATATTTAAAGGCCATTTATGCCATCAGAAGAAATCATAATGCTGGGCAAGGAAACAATACTTCATTTGAACATCACGAGAGCTGAATTTGGGCCCAAGCAATCCGAAAACTCATTTTAAGTTGCCAGCCATTTTTTATAAGGCAATATTTAATAGTTGTAGGAAATATACTTCGAAGGTTGCGATTATAATGTTTGTTTCCTTGCATTTTACACAGAATGGGCCAAAATGAACAAAGTAATTTGCTTAATGATCAGTTGGTTCGTGTTCAATTTTAATTTTGGGCGAAAACCTCATCCACTGCACTATATAGAAGACTTCACGAACTCAAAAAAAGAAAACCCCACAACTTCGAAATTTCGTCAAACACTGGATTTTTTCGGTGGTGATTATTTGTATTCGCGTTTGGAGATATGCTGAAACACTGAATTACAGGCGATTTAATTGTGATCAATTTTTCTTCCACAGGGAAGCGAAAATTTTCGCTCTCCATTTCTTTAAAAGAGTACCGAGAGTTTAAGGAACCAACCGGATTCCTCGAACACTTCCAAGTTCGAGTAGCAGAGTTGGGAAAAACCTTCAAAATAAATTTGGGAAAGACGCATATTTCTGCGAATCCGCAGTGTTCTCAATTGGTAACTCTCGATGTACACGATTTGACCTGCGAACGAGGTGCTTCGCGCTGAAGAAAAATCAATCGAAGGTCTGTTACATATAGAACAACGTCGTTGGCACATGAAGCTTTAATTCAGGAAGGTCTCGCAGCCATTCGACTACGACACTGTCGAGTGTCGAACACAGGAAGCCTCATCAGCATCATCAACCAAATAAAAAAGCCGTCAGTTCCACCCGCGACTCGACGACGACAGGAACTTGTGGCCCGCGGTCGCCTATCAATCAATTAAAAAAATATTCATCAAGTGAGCTTAGTTCCTGTATTTCTTTCCTGCATTTTTTTTTTCTGCCCAACTTTCTACCATCCGCCTCTGCTTCATTTCCCTTTCGACCGAAAATCGTCATCAATATCAAACTCACCTTCATAACCTGGATGTTTGTGTGTGCGTGGATGGAAATCAAATCTGAAGCCTGTTGTTGGAGAATTGCGCGAAAGCCGCGCAACGTACGATAATTAAAAGAACGAGTTAAACACGGAACACAATCCGTGACGCAATAATCACCCGATTGCATCCGGCATTTTTGGCGCGGTCGTCGTCTGCACGCTCTGCGAATTATTCAGGTCAGGAAGCGCATCATCCTACAATCTTGGTCAATTTTTATGATTATTAAAATTTACATCATGAGAAGTAACTACGTACGCAATTTCCGGCATTAGTTTTCAAAAATTTACCCACCTATTCAGTCCATTTACGTTCATATCGTCATTTTCAAACACATCCAAACCTTTTTTTTTTTCCATCAAACTGAAAAATGAACACTGTTCTGGTGAGACAACCCCCGCACAACGGACTGAATTTGTGCAACATCAGACGAATGTTTTATGTGAAACGGATGTTATGCGAGTACAATTATTTAAAAGTAACATTTTTACTTTTTACCATAAATTTTTAACCAACAGAAGTCTGTTAGGCGGATTTTGTCATTTAGGCAGGAAATAGTGCCTGCAGAGGCAGTCTGTTATGTGAAATTATCTTAGATGGGAGGTCTGTTAGGCGGGGGTTGACTGGCAAATCATCAGACCTCAATTACAGAATACAGTTTAAACTCGATAACTCGAATCTCCTTCATTGAAACTGTACCTCTCCATGTCAAATGTATTTCTAGCAGCTACCTGCATTTTCTTGAAGATCAATGTGTTGAAAACCTTTTCAACTCAAAAGCTTTCCTCGACCTCAAACCTTCATAATTTGAATTTTCTGGAGGCGTTTTGTCCATAATTTAATTGACACAGGAAAGATAATAGCAAAAAAATGTAACTTGCTGTGATTTGGAAGGAAGTGAAAATCTAGTTGGGCAAAATAACCCTTGCCTCGATCCAAGTTCAGAATCCTATCCACTCATGTAAGAATCAATTCAAATGATAGAATATCACCAACTGCAATTTCCTGTATTTCTCATTTTTTCCTCAGCAAAAATCTTCGTTTCCCTGACTCAAATACTCCATAACTCTGATTGTTTTTGCTGGCCCATTGAAGTTCGATTCAAGAAGGTTTAACTGCGCCAAAAGAATCATTTTACAAAGCGTATTAATAAAACGGGAGGAAATTTTCAACTGACAATATATTTTTCGAACTTCTTCATTAGCTCGGAAACTGGAAATGTATAGGCACAGGCTTTAATTTTCATACAATCTTGTCGGTAAATTTGAGATAACCATACCACTTGGGTGAAAATCTTCTTTTGTGGACAATAGAAATTCCCAAACGTTTCCTTCCATTTGAGCATCGTAATCTATTTTTTCAGATTATGCCGCACACGCTTTCTCAGTTGATGATGGCAATTTGTTTAAGATGAAAGGTATTATTGTATTCCATATCCGCTAATTTATTTCAAATGCAAATCTTTGAATCAATTGTTCCTATATAGGACTTCCATCCCTGACTGCTTTGATGCACGTTCTTGAAAGAGTTATAACATCACGATTTCGAGGATTCGAAGAAGAACATTTCAATGCACTTAAAAGTGGCTTATGTATTGCAAGGTACGTTAAAATCACGACCCTGCGCAAACAAAATGACTAAATTTCTTTTCTCTAAAATGGAATCGCCGTGCATCTCATCAAGAAAAAAAAAAGCTGAGCCCACTATAATAATCCGGAAGTGATGTTTGGCCAATTCCAGTCGTCGTTCTGCAACAGTTCGTGCCCCGTACCGCGTTAATGAATCAGTTTCTCAACGCTCCAGAACGAAAAAAAAGAACTCCACTTTCAAAGCAACATCAGTATAAGCGACTCGACTCTACGGATCTTCCGGGTTTTTATCCCCAATAACTTACCCAACCAAAGCCGCAGTCGCGGAAGAAAAACACGAACAGGAACCCGAAAATAGAGATGTTAATTGAATGAACCTCTGTTTGACCGGTGATGAAGATGATGTCTGAGATAAGCCGGTTTCAAACCAAGTTTCAAGTGACTTACTGGATCGATTATGAAATAAAATAAAGTAAAACGTCTATCGTCCGGTAAAAGTTCTAGCTGTCTTTGCCTCGATGATCAAATTTTAAACTCAATTTTGAAAAATGACAGAAAAAGTATTGTCCAAGGAAGAGAAAAAACTTCCAAAAAACAACGTATTGCTTTCGAAAAACAAAATAAACGTGTATCGGAATATCCTGATGATTTTTCTGAAATGCCCGCTTCATGCATAGCTATATCTATACTGTACCTGAATTTTATGAATTTTGGTGTCGATAATAATTTTGAATGAAATTTCGCATCAAATGTGACATTTTCAGAGGGCAGGAAAACTAGTAAAATCACACTTCCCGTGATCGACTCGATATTTGATCATCGGTATAATCGACGACAGGTTAATCGAAGTTGAACGGCGTATTATGGTCCCCATACTGTTTGCGAAAGAAAAAAATTGTTTTTCCAGGTTTGATTCGTTTCAAAAATAAACCAAAAATTACGATGCGTTTAAATCGCATTCGTCATTGCTCATTCCGTGCTGGTGATTTCCTGCTTTCACTGACAGTGCCGGCCGGTGGGAATCACGAACATCACGCCAGCCACAAATTACTTCCCGAGTGTTCAAGTAGTATGTGCTGTATAGGAAAACAAAAACCAAATTGCGAGAACTTTCGAACAAGCCCCAGTAGCATGCAGGGAATCGAAAGGCGAGTTTGATGGGCGCATAATTCGCAGTTGCATCATTAGAGCTTAGGGCAACGTTCAGGAAGTGGCCGTGTAGTTGGCCGTCGATCGCGGCGACGATCACGTCAACAAGAAATATAAGGGAAAAAAATAATAATAAGAAGAAGAAAAAATAAACCTGGGAAATGGAACTGGTTTCCACTGCTGAACGGGATCGATGGAGTTACAGAATCTGAGATCGATAAAAAACTGTCGAGAACAAATGAGCCATGAATGTAATTCTCCCTTTGCTCGGGTTCGTGGTTAAACTTTTTTTTTCTGTGCATGTAATTGATGTCATTAATTGTTACATATGAGTACAGTTGATATAGAAATGGCATCTGTAATTCCCTTTTATCACGCATGTTAATTTTTGCGGAGATTTTTTAAATCGTACACACGTATCTAAAGCCACTTTTGATTCAGTGATTCAGTGTGGATTCGAATGCATTTATTGATGCCGTTGAATTGCGTAAACGTAATTTTCCAGCCTGAGGACTGGATAATTTCAATCAGTTAATAATACGTCCCTTCAACTTTGAAAGTCCGAAGAATAAGTTAGAATGATATGAGAAATATTCAAGGCAAATTACGGGTGACCTGAAGGGATATTTTTAAATACTGTATTTCAACAAATCGTAGAGACATTTCCAAGATGACCTCTTTAAATTGGGAGACATGCTTATATTTCCTTCTAAGTTATCATCAGTTAAAAAGATTATTAATTTTCTCATGATCCTCGCCTTGATTCTATTCTGATATACAGTAATTTTAAATTTGATATGCAAATGGCTTGAGTTGAACAAGTGGGGTGTCCTAAAATTAGATTGACAATGTAGTTAAGGGATGGCTTCCTACATTGTGATAAAATTAACTAGCGAAGGCCTAAATTGAGATTCTAGTCTTACATTGAAATCCGTTGTCAATGAAAAATGCCAATTCCTCAAACAGCGATTTGTCAGTGGCTATATGAAAGGAGTTGACATCACAGGAACGATTTGAACTGACTTGATTCCCAGCTGGAATTTCCCACGAGGAGAGTTGTTTTGTTTCTAAGGATTCAAATATAAGGGGTTCGCCATTGCATTCATTTATCCTCATACATTTTCATGCCGCGAAGAAACCACTCGTTCGATCTAAGGACGCTCGTATACAAAAAGTCATGTCTTTCTTTAAAAAAAAAAAGAATATTCCAGCCTATTTTTATCAAGTCTTGTCCGGGTCTTGAGGCTATTTAAAACCTCAATACCGTATACTTGAAGAAAAAATCAGCTGACATTGAAAAGTATGTTTTCTTGTGGGTTTCTTCTTTACCAGGAGCCACGCTGAGGACCTTCAAAAATGAATAAGCCTGTTTTCACAACTCTGAGCGTCGCTCTCTTCTTCAGTTCGACTCTTCTGACGAGTTTCACGGACGCAAAACCGAACCCAAACCCCTCAGAAGCCCGTAGCTACAAGAATTTTAGGCTCATGACGCAATCGGCCGTAAACGGACGATTTCCCGTCGTTATCTACGAAAGCTCACAAACAGGACTCAAGGTCGCATCGATTCAAGTCGGCGGCCCAGTCGTAAACGGATACATCACTTTGGGTATGAATTCCTTTTTATTCCGGTGTAACTGCGTTTCCTCCTGAACTTTTATTTTCAAATGGGTAAAGTGGTTTATGAATAAGTTCTCCCACAATCCTATTTAATAAATTCGATGCGATTCGACCCTGTTTTGAGGAGGAGTTGATAGACTGAATCACCTTGATGTGAACCATGGGGACGGGAGAACCATCTTTGGATGATTGACACTCCAAGATTCTTGGAATTGACATTTAAAAACTTGTGATCCGTTTGAAAAGATATTTTTACCTAGCTTATACCCGGACATACACAATTTTAAAATTCAGTCAAATGCTGAGTCCCTGAGGGGACATATACAGGTGGTACCTTGCAATTTGACCTCTCATGATGTAACTGTTGCACAATTCAACCATCAAATTTGCTGGGAGGTTTACTCTCAATTCAAACTCTGCCGCACAATTTGACCTGTGGAGGGACATGAAACATCAAATGCCATGCAGAAAACATGCCATTCGACGTTGTCTTGCAATTTGACCTTATTCCAGCAATGGATTAGGGTTGAATTGTGCGGTACCACCTGTAAAAAAATAAGATGAGAGCTGGATATATGATTTGAAAACAGGATAGTACCACGATCGGCTCATAATTATCATCTATCTTGAGGTTTAATAGCTATAGTTGTGATACAGTACAGTACTATAGAGGGATGCAGATGACGGGCTTTAATTTTGCAGAGGAGCATCTGATAATTTTCTTTCTGCTTTTTTGCAAAAAAAACCTTTTCCAAAGAATGATGGAGGGAGTTTTCATGGGACAATTTTTTGAGTGAGAATTACAACTGTAAAAATCCCTTTTGATCTTTGATCTGGGTAATCTATGCAAGCAATGTTTAATACGAAATTTCTCTTAAAAATAAAATTCTGCAGCAAATGTTTCCCAATAAGTCAGGCACTTGGAGAAATTCCTTGGTGTGCGCGTATATACATAAAAAGAGTTCAATTATTTCATAGAAAAAATTTTCGAACCTACCACAGAATATCAAATTGAATTTCTTTCCGATTTTCAGAAACGCGACCGAATGAGTATAGGCCACGTTTCTAATTTAGAATTTCGAAAGACGAGGAAATTTCTTAGAGTTAGAGAAAAAAAACCAGTTTAAGCATATTGGGACTCATCAGAAGCTCAGGGGGAAAATAGAATTCAATTTTGGAAAAAAGAACTTTTGAACCAACCTTGGAAACATCGATTTAGAACTACGTCCTATTTCTATATAGAAGCGCAACCGAATAAATAGGCCACGTTCCCCTTTTATTTTCCCGAATTTCAAATGATGTTGTTATGTTTTATTCCGTACTTGCAGCCACTGAAGCACATGATGATGACGGACTTCCCCACACCCTGGAACATTTGGTATTCATGGGAAGCGAAAAGTACCCGTGGAAAGGGGTCTTGGACTTGCTGGCCAACAGATGCTTGGCGTCGGGAACAAACGCATGGACAGGTTTGCTGCGAATTAGGCGCAACATTGTCCGCATGGGAACGGGCTAGGAAAACAATGCGGGTGTCACTTCGGGTTCACGGGGTTAAATCAAGGATGAACGTATACTGAATTCATTTTTTCCTGAAAGAAGATTGTGACTAGACAATTTTATCCTTTATCCTAACGATTCGATAACCCAGATTATGACAGTCACATTGACTCATATTTTAACATAATTTTTTTTTCGGAAGACAATTTCTAGTCGTGAATGGAATGTGCCCACAGTTTTCCGCCCGTGGAAGAAAGCTCCTGATATTTTCTTATAACGATAATATAATTTTGAACGCAGTCCGACGAACTTCCAAACCAAACGAACACACTTCGGAATGACTTCAAATCCGTTAATTCCAATCTTCTGAAGAGAACAAAAAACTCCGAAAGAACCTATGAAAGGCTTAAATAATTCAGTATTCTTCGATAATCAAAAAACCAATTCGAATTTTGGTACAAATGTATAGTTTTCAGTCTTTTATACTTTCCTTCCCAAAAATTTTATGATGGGAGGAATTGTTAAAATTTTACAGAATTAGTGATGGACTGAAGGACTTGCTCAGATTTTTTTTTTTTACACCCAGGATGAAAAAAGTCAACAAGTAGCTGAAAATCGACTCCCATTTATGCCAAGAAAATGATTTTCCAATTTTTTAATGTATCTTCAGGTGGTAGAAGTGCCATCAAAACTTTTTTCAGTAATATATAATATTGTTAATGACATTAGTGCCAAATCAAAATAAGAGCGTTCCCACGAAAATTTTAAAATGTATGCATACATTTTTAACTGATGTTTGATTTTGAGTTTGTTTCGAAATGTCATTCTGTGAGACATAAGTTGTCCAATAGAGTATATAGAGAAGTGTTCAAGAAAATTTTAAATATATGGAGAGAGGCTTCTTCTAAGTCAAACGAAATATTTCAACAATTTCCTTCGGTCTTTTGAATGATTAAAACAGGATTTTTCTTGAAATTTCTGACAATTTTTTTTAAAGGTCAAGAATCGAGTAAAAATGCAGGTTTAGCAGTTCCTTCTCCCCCATTTTTACATATATCGGTAGAACGCATTACTTTTTCAATTTAATGTTTGGCTGGCTCAAGTTCCGACGATGAGGTATAAAAATTGAAATACAGTACTGTATAAACAACAGGGATTTCTACGTTTTGGTTTTTGCGGAAAATAATCCTAGATTTTCTGGCCCAATTGGGTATAATTGTTTCCGTGATTTCCATCTAGATGTCGACCACACTTGCTACACTATGACGACAGCCGGAAGCGAGGGATTCTGTAACCTGCTGCCAATTTATTTGGACCACATATTTTACCCAACTCTGACGGTGAGTCCATCATGGTTTTGAGCTCGAGGAAATTTTCAACTGAAGAAAAGAATTCGGCAAATTATTCGGGAAGACATGGGGAAGTGCTTATGCCATACTGTATAATATCAAATCCTTGAAGGACTCTGCTTACCTCACGGAAGTTCACCACGTGAACGACGAAGGCGAAGACGCCGGCATTGTCTATTCGGAAATGCAGTCCAGGGAGAATACGGGCGAAAACATCATCCACAGGACGTTGAGCAAAGCATTATATCCCGGCAAATCGGGTTACAAGTCGGTGACCGGTGGGATCTTGAAAAACTTGAGGGAATCCACGTCGAACAAAAAGGTGCGATGTTCACGATATTTTCTTTTCCCCCGCTGAAGCTAAAAGGTCGACAGGTCGTGTTCCCATTTTGATTCTGCATCCAAAAGGAAAGGAACGCTGATTTCAACACGTTTTTCCCCCGTATTTTATTTCAGGTCCCGCTGATGGTGTTCCTTAAAATGGCAGGACTTTTAGACACCCAGTAGCACTGCCCATTTTACCTAGGGCACTTCTAAGAACTCACGGAACTAGGGCACCTTGTTTTCGAATAACGTTTTCATTCTTTATTTATTCATTCAGGACGAAAACAAATGGAATTTATTTTCGTTATTGGTTTAACATTGCCAAGGAGACGAAAGTTGAATTACAACTGAAGCATTTTCTGCAGTAAATTTAAGTTTTGTCATCCGGGATGAAGACCATGGTGCCCTTGCTTGATCATCGAAGAATACCAAAAATAAATGAACAATAGGAGATACAGTGTTTTAATTCAAGAGAGCAAAAATAATTTCAGTCACTATTTTAAATAATAATAAAGTACTGTAGCAACAAACCTAAAAATCTCGAACTTCATGAGCGCAGGTATAATTAACATTTTACCGATAATCGACTATCCGAAAAATTTATACGATATCGTGAACTTGAGGAAAAAAGCAAAAAATTCTACACCGAAGAAAACCTATATACATAATTCGTATATCCCAGAGAAAAAAAGTGGCTCGAATCAAAATTAAACAGATCGTCCTGTTTCCTGATCTCAATATCTAGAAATAAAAAACTGTCAATCTACGTCAAATTCACAGCTCTATATTTGAATCACGGGTAATCAAAGTTATATTGGATTTCGTGAGATCATTGAGTACTGTGGAGTTTGCTTAAGAAACCTTGATTGTTTTCCGAATTTTTCGGAATTTTTTCGATGGTATCTCATGAAATTGTGTTTTTTGAAAAAACAATCGAAGCAGTCTCCACACATTTCGATGAACTTAAATATTATCGTGATTTTTTTAATTAAAACAAATCTTCTGAAGAGCTCTGATTTTTTAAATTTGTGCGAAATCCCTAACGTTTGGCACGGGCTTTTCAGAATGTCTTACCCTTATTCAAATGTATTTTATGTACATATAATTCAAGGGGAAGAACCCAAAACCGTACATCAGGCCTTGGATGGAACCTGTGGAACCATTGCGTCATTCTATTGATATGGAAGTCCCTTATCCAGCAGATGAAGTGGAACATGGATTGGTTTATTTCGGTTGGCAAGGACCGTCGTCTATGTTCGAGCAGCACAAGTGAGATTTATTTTGTGTATACAANGCGACTACCACAAGGAATTTTACCGTCCTGAAAATCTGTGGGTCATCGTGACGGGTAAAATGGATCCCGTGAAGATTCTTGAGTGCCTTGATCCCGTGGAACAAAAGCTTATTGCAAAAGTAAGAAACTTATTCATTCAGGACGAAAACAGATGTAATTTATTTTCGTTACTGGTTTAACATTGCCAAGGAGACGAAAGTTGAAATACAAATGATGCATTTTCTGCAGTAAATTTAAGTTTTGTTATCCGTGATGATGACCATGGAGCCTTTGCTTGATCATCGAAAAATACCAAAAATAAATGAACAATAGGAGATCCAGTATTTCAAGTCCAGAAAGCAAAAAAAAATTCAGTCACTATTTTAAATAATAATACAGTACTGTAGCAACATACCTAAAAATCTCGAACTTCATGAGCGCAGGTATAATTAATATTTTACCGATATTCGACTATCCGAAAAATGTATCCGATGGTGCACTTGAGGAAAGAAGCAAAAAATTCTACACCGAAGAAAACCTAGACATAATTCGTATATCCCAGAGAAAAAAAGTGGCTCGAATCAAAATTAAACAGATCGTCCTGTTTCCTCATCTCAATATATAAAAATAAAAAGTGTCAATTTACAGCAAATTCACGCCTCTATATTTAAATCACGGGTAATCAAAGTTATATTGGATTTCGTGAGATCATTGAAGAAAGATAAGCTTCGTACTGTGGAGTTTGCTTAGCAAACCCTAATTTTTTTCCAGAATTTTTCGGAATTTTGTCGATGGCATCTCTGAAATTGTGTTTTTCGAAAAAACAATCGGAGCAGTCGATCTCCACACAGGTCGATGAACTCACATATCGGAATTTTTTTAAACAATAACAAAGCTTCTGAGAAGTTCCGATTTTTTTAATTTGTGCGAAATTCGTAACTTTTGGTACTTTTCAGAATGTCTTATCCTTCGAATGTATTTTATGTACATGTATAATTCAAGGGGAAGAACCCAAAACCGTACATCAGGCCTTGGATGGAACCTGTGGAACCATTGCGTCATTCTATTGATATGGAAGTCCCTTATCCAGCAGATGAAGTGGAACATGGATTGGTTTATTTCGGTTGGCAAGGACCGTCGTCAATGTTCGAGCAGCACAAGTGAGATTTATTTTATATATACAAATTTTGGACATTTACACTTTCCCACTGCAAAACAAAAAACCAAAAAAATGTATTCCAGATTAACTGCATTAACTGTGATGCTGGATTACCTGACGGACACAGCTATCAGCCCGATTCAGAAAGAATTCGTCGAAATTGATTCTCCGTACGCCAGCAAGGTTTGTCCGCAGGGAGTTTTGCTCGGCTAGCCGCTTCACTCTGGACGGAAGACAGAAAAAAACTAGCTTTGAACTTTCAAATTATTTTTGTAGGTGTCGTTCCACGTATCAGAAAACTTGGTATCTGCCATCACCCTGAGTTTCAGCGACGTACCAATGGGCAAGTTGAACGACATTTCACCAAAACTTTGGCAAGTCTTGCGAAATTTAACCGAGGCCACCTTTGACGTGGTGAGGATGAAGAGCCTTTTGCATCACAAAATGCTTGACTTCTGGGCAACTCTGGAATCTGACCCGCATTCGGCTCTGGCTTATGACATGATTGGGTTTATGCTTTATGGGAATTCCTCACAAGATGTAAGTTCTGCTCTTTTCTAAGATTTTTGTTCGAAAAAAAGCTACGAAGGTACTTTATTTCATCGAATTACAATAAATGAATAAATTTGCTTATATGCAAGCAGAAAACGCAGACAAGATATCCAGTGGCTATCGCATGTTTTGTCTGGTTTTATTTTTAAAATTTTGGAGTAGCCAACCTGCGATTGAATGTTATCCATTCGTCGCTCGTCATCCACCCCGTAATTTTTTTTTACTGTTGAGCAGGTGTCGCTCGATTACGCCGTGTCATGTCGAAGTTGAATTATGTTTGGTCATTTCGAGATGGGGTCACATAAATTCAGCTTCAGTCGAGTTTCGACAGCTTAGAAGCAAAAATGTCAAATTCGGTCCGGTTCAGTCCTGATATTCAAAAACAAAATTGTCAATGATCGCAAAAAGAGGCAAACCGAATCTTCAGAAATAATTCTTCTCTGTTGATCGTTTGATTTATTCTACCGTGTTTCTGCTCTAGACAAGAGGGAAAATAAGCGAAACTCGTAACTTGACTTTGAATTCCTTTCCCAGCTGACATTCAGACTCAACGAAGACAAATACTACGAAGAATTGATGCAGAAGCCACCGAAGTTTTGGATTGACTTGCTTCGAGAATACATTGATGAATCGAGACCCCATGTCGTTGTTCGGGGAAAACCGTCAGCTGAGCTGGAAACCAAGAACGCAGCAAATGAAGCCAACAGAAAAGAAAGTCGAATTAGTGACCTCGGACCCGACGGTCTGCGCCAAAACAAAGCAAATGTGGATCATGCAGTGGAAGCAAACGAGGCAAGATAACGTTTCCAAATTTTTGCAGCCTCTAATCAACGCTTAAAACTGTAGGCGTTTCGACTGAAACAAAAATAGAAAGCCTGCTTCAAAAACCAGTCATTAAAAAGGCTTTTTTGAAAATATTATATGAACTCAATGGATGCGCAAAAGAATCTTTTTTGGCAAACAATGCAATTTCGAAAGAGAAGGAAACCTGTCAAGAGCAAATGCGGCAGTCATTTGAAAAAAATTTAACGACCCTGAATTGCATAAGTTTTTTATTATTAAATATTTGATTTTATTTAATATGTTGGGGGGGGGGGGGTGGTTTTAACAGAAACCACACCCTCAAACATTTTTGCAGGTGTATAGAACCAAAACTTCTCGAAATAATGGATTCACTCTACGGTATGCGAGAAGGCACAAAAACTTTGAAAATCGTAAAGATATGCAGATAATATTAACCTTTGAAACTTCAGGAGAAATATTCAATTTACTTTTATTATTTTAGTCATTCTTATTATTTCGAATTCAAAAGAGAAACATCTGATTTTATCTCTCACTTATTTTACCCCAGTAAGGGATATATCCTCTCCACGAATTTTTTTTTCTGTCCGTGGAGCCTTAAAATTTTCTGGAAAAACGTTGTACGAAAGTTTTCCAGGCAAAGTTTGTCTGTGCAGTTTATGTGGAAATCTGACAAGCCCTGTGCATACTTCTTCTTCATAGGTTCAACCTAGCGATGAAGTGATAACATCTGTTCCGGTCCCAAGCACGGATGGAATCCATTACCACACGATCGAACCCTACTCGAACTTCGCTGTTCCCAGCTCTTCTGGAAGAAACGAAATCCGCGCGAATTCTCCGCACTTCGACCTCAACTCTATCCCGGTTCGCATGCGAATCGACGACGTGTCCTCCAACTTTGTTTATGTAAGCTTTAAAAACAATATGCGAGTAAATTATTAGCTCAATAATCATGCAAATGCTTACCTGTTGTCTGTGTCCGGGTAATCGAATAATCTTAATCAAGCTCCAATATTAAACTGAACATTTTATTTATCATGTTCAAATTTCGCTTCGGCGAGGAAAAAGTGGCCTGTAAACCTCGCAATTTTAGCTTCCGTCAATCCATCTCCAACTGATCAACATAAGTTAAATAACGTTCAGATTACTGTAATGTCACAAATATTGAATCAGGTCATCCCTGACTCCTGAGTGTTTTTAATCCAACGAATTAATTTGAATATATTCGATGATCCGGAATTTCTGATTATCTGACCAGAGGCACCCGGTCATCAGCTGACCTGATCATTGCTCAACTATACCAGAGATATTGTTAATATTTTGCAGATCAAAAATGTATTCAATGCGAACCTGACGAGATACTGTTTTGACACCAAGGGGCAATTAATTTTCGCATGCAATCATGAACTAAAGTGGATTTTTTAAATGTTGCGATGCGTACTAGCGTGCCCTTTATGAGATATTTTTGTTCTTGATGCTTAATGACGTTAGCATTCTATTTTTTATCGCACAGATTCTTAATTTAAATAAGTACTGTAACTCTTGAAAAAAAATTTTTCCAGAAGGGAGTAAAGCAGTAAATTAACAAGTAGCTTTGTTTCATCCTCAAATTAAAAATAATTTCTGGAGTTAATCCAAATTCGGTTCATTCAGATTCTAATAAATAATTTTTTATTCATTTACTGTACATATATTTTTTGATTGAGCATGATTTTATTCCATATATGATCAGATCCATCTGATGATTGACACTGCTGATTTGGACCCAAGTCTGCGACTCTACTTACCCCTGTTTCTGGAGTCGATTTCCGAAAGTCCACTGAAGTTGCCACCTGGTATCAGATGGCACGGACCGAACGTTACGTCGGACGGGGAGAACAGCGTCACTGTCGACAGCGACGGATTCCAGCACGTGCCTCACGAGTTGGTTGTCGCTCAAATCGAAGCTGAAACCCAGTCCATAACGTCTTACTTGGGAGTCGGCGGGGGCAGCGTTTTTTCTGCAGGATACTTCTCCAACTACGCCGTCATTTCCATCCAGGTTTCGATTTTTACGTTTTCTAAAAATCTGTTCTTTGATTTTGATTGAAGATGTAGTTTTTCAAACAAATTAATTGGGCAGTTCATTCGATCAAATAACCCTCGAAAATCAAATTCAGTGCGAAGGAGGATGAAATCGAAAGTATTGATTGATTAAAATTCCTGCTTATTTTATCGTTAATGTGTGCTTTTTTATAACCTTTTTCCAATTAAGACGAATAACGTAGACTGAGTGACAAAATAAAGTCTGTACGGTATATGTACATGAACTAAAATTCCGACGGAATAAAAAATATGACTTTCGTTACTCGAAAGCGTTTAAACAATCAATTAATGAGGACTTTTCCTATACAAACGAGACAGACATTTTCCTACACAGCTTTTCGGAGGTTATTACTTTTAGTTTTAACCGTGACGTCATAGCAGCATGAAAATTCTCTTGCTTTTTTTTTGCTGTGTCTTTTATTTACTTCAAATGTGGGAAGAGGAGGGAAATTTTGACGATGATCGTTTCAGTTTGTATCCCGAAAACTTTGGTTGAACCCCTCGTAGAGCAGTACAGTATTTGAGAGAAAAACTGCTGTGTTCGTGATGTACCTTGTGAATGAGATTTTGCGCAGTATTTTGTTTTGCGCTTTTATTTTCGGAGCGCGGTGTTTTGGGATTAAATTATCAAAATTCGCTCAAATCATCGTCCGAATTTAGAAATTCAAATCGGGTTACTTTTTATTCTCCTGCATATATTCGAGATTATGTTAATGCAAAGGAAAACCCTTTTTTCGATCTAGGTTGAGCTTTCGAAGTACGCTGACGGTGTAAGATGGCTCCGTGACCTGGTTTACTTCACTGACCTCGACCCTGATCGCATCCAAGTGCTAGCCTCCAAACTGTCACAGAGCGTATGGGTTTATGCTTTATGGGAATTCCTCACAAGATGTAAGTTCTGCTCTTTTCTAAGATTTTTGTTCGAAAAAAAGCTACGAAGGTACTTTATTTCATCGAATTACAATAAATGAATAAATTTGCTTAGATGCAAGCAGAGAACGCAGACAAGATTTCCAGTGGCTATTGCATGTTTTGTCTGGTTTTATTTTTAAAATTTTGGAGTAGCCAACCTGCCATTGAATATTATCCATTCGTCGGTCGTCATCCACCCCATAATTTTCTTTACTGTTGAGCAGGTGTCGCTCGATTACGCCCTGTTATGTCGAAGTTGAATTATGTTTGGTCATTTCGAGATGGGGTCACATAAATTCAGCTTCAGTCGAGTTTCGACAGCCTAGAAGCAAAAATGTCAAATTCGGTCCGGTTCAGTCCTGATATTCAAAAACAAAATTGTCAATGATCGCAAAAAAGAGGCAAACCGAATCTTCAGAAATAATTCTTCTCTGTTGATCGTTTGATTTATTCTACCGTATTTCTGCTCTATAGACAAGAGGGAAAATAAACGAAACTCGTAACTTGACTTTGAATTCCTTTCCCAGCTGACATTCAGACTCAACGAAGACAAATACTACGAAGAATTGATGCAGAAGCCACCGAAGTTTTGGATTGACTTGCTTCGAGAATACATCGATGAATCGAGACCCCATGTTGTTGTTCGGGGAAAACCGTCAGCTGAGCTGGAAACCAAGAACGCAGCAAATGAAGCCAACAGAAAAGAAAGTCGAATTAGTGACCTCGGACCCGACGGTCTGCGCCAAAACAAAGCAAACGTGGATCATGCAGTGGAAGCAAACGAGGCAAGATCAACGTTTCCAAATTTTTGCAGCCTCTGATCAACGCTTAAAACTAGGCGTTTCCACTGAAACAAAAATAGAAAGCATGCTTCAAAAACCAGTCATTAAAAAGGCTTGTTTAAAAATATTATTTGAACCCCATGGATGCGCAAAAGAATCTTTTCTGGCGAACAATGAAATTTCGAAAGAGAAGGAAACCTATCAACAACAAATGCGGCAGTCATTTAAAAAAATTGTAACGACTCTGAATTGCTTGATTTATTTATTTATTTGTTATTAAATATTTGATTTTAAAAAATATGTTGGGGTTGGGGGGGGGGGGGGGTGGTTTTAACAGAAATCACAGCTTTAAAATTTTTTTCAGGTATAGTGTATATCAGCTCGAACCACAATTTCTCTAAATAATGGATTCACTACAGCATGCGAAAAGGCACAAACAACTTTGAAAATCGTTAAAAAAAATGCAGATAATATTAACCTTTGAATCTTCAGGAGAAACATTTAATTTACTCTTATTATTTTAGTCGGTCCGGTATTATTTCGAATTCAAAAGAGAAACAGTTGATTTTATCTCTCACTTATTTTACCCCAGTAAGGGATGTATCCTCTCCTCAAATTTTTTGTTTCTGTCCGTGGAGCCTTAAAATTTTCTGGAAAAACTTTGTATGAAAGTTTTCCAGGCAAAGTTTGTCTGTGCAGTTTATGTGGAAATCTGACAAGCCCTGTGCATACTTCTTCTTCATAGGTTCAACCCTCGCTACTTCACTATTGTAGACAAGGCCAGGGTTCGTGCCTACCTTAGGTAATGGTGTGCTAGCTTGGGATGAGCTTGAAGCGACAAGGGTCGAGAAGACCTTCTTTGCTTTAGGCGCGCTTAAGAGCGCACTTCGACCTCAACTCTATCCCGGTTCGGTACGCTTAGCTGCTGCACAGGAGGTTGAAACAAATACATTCGAAATTTTTGTTATACGCTCATTTAATAATCGAGTTATTAGTACGTTTACGAATGGACAACAGACACAGGCCCATTAGCTTATTAATTAATCAAGCTCCAATATTAAACTGTACATTCGATTCATCATGTTCAAATTTCGCTTCGGCGAGGAAAAAGTGGCCTGTAAATCTCGCGATTTTAGCTTCCGTCAATCCATCTCCCACTGATCAACGGATCAACATAAGTTAAATAACGTTCAGATTACTGTAATATGTCACAAATATTGAATCAGGTCATTCCTGACTCCTGAGTGTTTTTAATCCAACGAATTAATTTGAATATATTCGATGATCCGGGATTTCTGATTATCTGACCAGAGGCAACCTGACCTGATCATTGCTCAACTGTACCACGGATATTGTCAATGTTTTGCTAATCTGAAATGTATTCAATGCGAACCTGACGAGACACTGTTTTGACAACAAGGGCAATTACATTTTTCACGTGCAATCATGGACTAAAAGGGATTTTTTAATGTTTCAATGCGTACTAGCGTGTTTGTTATGAGATATTTTTGTTCTTCGCGCCTAATTACGGAAACTTTCTATTTTTATCGCACAGATTCTTAATTTAAATAAGTATCTCATTAAAAATTCAGAAGGGAGTAAAGCAGTAAAATAACAAGGACCACTTTGTTTCCTCGGATTACAAAGAATTTCCTGAGTTAATCCAAATCCGGTTCATTCAGGGTCTATTAAATAATTGTTTATTCATTTACTGTAACTATATTTATTGATTGAGCATGATTTTATTCGATATGAACAGATCCATCTGATGATTGACACTGCTGAATTGGACCCAAGTCTGCGACTCTACTTACCCCTGTTTCTGGAGTCGATTTCCGAAAGTCCACTGAAGTTGCCACCTGGGATCAGATGGCACGGACCGAACGTTACGTCGGACGGGGAGAACAGCGTCACTGTCGACAGCGACGGATTCCAGCACGTGCCTCACGAGTTGGTTGTCGCTCAAATCGAAGCTGAAACCCAGTCCATAACGTCTTACTTGGGAGTCGGCGGGGGCAGCGTTTTTTCTGCAGGATACTTCTCCAACTACGCCGTCATTTCCATCCAGGTTTCAATTTTTTGTATTTTCTAAAAATCTGTTCTTTGACTTTGATTGAAGATGTAGTTTTTCAAACAAATTAATTGGGCAGTTCATTCGACCAAATTACATTCGAAAATCAAATTCAGTGCGAAGGAGGATGAAATCGAAAGTATTCATTGATTAAAATTCCTGCTTACAGTATTTTATCGTTAATGTGTGATTTTTTTAATAACAGTATTCCAATTAAGACGAATAACGTAGACTGAGTGAAAAAATAAAGTCTGTATACGGCATTTGTACATGAACTAAAATTTCGACGGAATAAAAAAATATTACTTTCGATACTCGAAAGCGTTTAAACGATCAATTAATGAGGACTTTTCCTACAAACGAGACACCAATTTTCTTTCTGAGATTATTATTTTTAGTTTTTACTGAGACTTCATAGCAGCATGAAAATTCTCTTGCTTTTTTTGGCTATGTCTTTTATTTACTTCAAATGTGGGAAGAAGATGGAAATTTTGACGATGATCGTTTCAGTTTGTATCCCGAAAACTTTTGTTGAACCCCTCGTAGAGCAGTACAGTATATGAGAGAAAAACTGTTGTGTGCCTTGTGAAAGGGGTTTTGCGCAGTATTTTGTTTTGCGCTTTCATTATCGGAGCGCGGTGTTTTGGCATTAAAGTATCAAAATTCGCTCAAATCATCGTCCGAATTTATAAATTCAAATCGGGTTACTTTTTTTTTCTCCTGCATATATTCGAGATTAAGTTAATGCAAAGGAAAACCTTTTTTTCGATCTAGGTTGAGCTTTCGAAGTACGCTGACGGTGTAAGATGGCTCCGTGACCTGGTTTACTTCACTGACCTCGACCCTGATCGCATCCAAGTGCTAGCCTCCAAACTGTCACAGAGCGTGGCACAAAAAAAGCGAAGGGGAGACAAAGTCGTCAGGGCGTTGATCACCGACATGGATTACGTCAAAGGTTCTCATCGATGAAATCAATTGAGCTTTTATAAATACTGTGTTTCACTGACTGCTCATTGTGTTCGGATTTGATTGAAGGGTCGAATCACTGGGCCGTCAGCATGGTCAGACAGCAAAACTTGCTCACAGAAGTTTCGCAAAACATTTCCAAGGCGATGGAGGGTAATAACGACAATAAGCGGGTCGTCATGGAACTCGAAGGAATGCGACAACTGAAGAAACTTCAAAAGCAGCTGATGGAGAACACAGCAGGTTTCATTTTATACATGGCTGCGGATTTGCGAAGATTGTACGAAAACAACGGGAAGATGCCGTCGGAGAAACCTTGGGTCGACACGATTTTGCCCTACTTCGAGCAGAGTTCTGTCGATACCGACAGCATTCATTTCCGAGATCCGTGAGTGTATACACTGAATCGAGAGGGTTTTGGAATCAATTTTTTTTCTTATTCTTTATTTTTTTTACTGCTGAGAAACCTGCGAGTAAATTTTAAAATGATTACGGGGGTTTTCTTTTCAGACCAAAGGTCGTGACTGATGCCATGCTTCTCGCTCGACCTCCGAATAATTCAGCGTTGCCCGACCCAAAGCATGCGACAGTCGTTGGAATGGGTTCGGTGGACTCGGCTTATCTTTTCCAAACCGTGCAAACCGAAGTAAATTCCTACACTCATCCTGACTTTTCATCGTTGATGCTATTTTTGCAATACTTGGAGCAGCTCGAGGTACGAGCATTTTTCCAAGTTTTTATTTAGATGTTTTTGTGCTAATGATGAGCGATTTATTTGCAGGGTCCAATTTGGCGAGCCGTTCGAGGCCAAGGGCTGTCCTATTCTTACTACTTCCAACTTTCGGCGGAAGAAGGTCTGATTCTTCTTTACTTGGGCAGATCAAGTCAGGTTGTCGATGCCTATGAGGTTACAGCGAAGATTGTGGTAAGTGCATACAGTAGATTCCCGTTACAACGCATTATAACGAATGTATGCTCACAACGAAATTTTTAAAGTTCCTGTTCAATAGCCACAATTTTAAATTAACTTCCTTTCAACGAATTTGCGTTTATAACGAAGCATTTCTTAAGGTACCAAATGCTTCATTGTAACAAGATTCTACTAGATTTCAAGTTTTCTTTTTTATTTTACTTTTACAGCTGAACCTCGATAAATCGAACGTCCTAGATTGGAATGCATTCCTATGTCGAATTAATTTAAAAACCTTGTCTGAATTTTCTTAGACACCGCATGCATTGTAAACCTCCATATGACTAAAAAGATTTTCCTTCAAACCTCCATGACTCGAATTTTCTGGAAGCCTTTTAGCTATTATTGTATCGACACTGGAAAGATAGAAGCGATAAAAATAATCTAATGTGTTTTGAAGGAAATTAAAGACTACTTGGGCAAATGAACCCCTTCCTCTTATTACAGGGTACTGTGAACTCATTTAAGAAGCAATTTAAGGCCCAGAATATCGCCAATTACAATTTCCCACAATTTTTCTTTCTTTCTCCATCACACAAATGCTTGGTTCGCTACCTCATAACCTCACTAAATCTTTTTTTTATTTTTTTTTTTTTTGCTGGTCGTCTCTATAGGAATTCGACTTGAAAAGGTCCGACTATGTTAGTTTTTTTTTTTAGTCAGATAAATAACACAACTTGTTCAATTCTTGCAGAGAGAACACGTTTCAGAGGGTTTCCAACTAAGCCACGAGTTGTTCGAATCTGCCAAAAGCTCATTGGTTTTCGGACTGATTGAAAAGGAGCAGAGTATTTCCGACCTGGTGAATCAAGCTGCCCTTTCGTCATTCCGAGGTGTTCCTGTTAGCTATACAAAGTACGATATGCCAGAAACTTGTAAAAGCAAATGTTTTCCGTTATTTGCTAAAGATTCAATTTTCTTCCCCAAAGAACCATGATAGACAGAATATGGAAAGTCACAGAAGAAGAAATGATGGCGAGTGGAAGGAAACACATGCCGGCTTTATTTAATCCCGCCAAGTCAAGAGCAGCAATTGTTTGCCACTCAGCGAAAGTGAACGAAATCGTCCAGTCCTTCAAAAAGTGCGTGTTGATCACGGTTACAAAAAATCGAATTTTGATCTTTCATAACATGGATCGATGGTTTTTCGTTGCAGTTTCGGTCGAAACATGGTCACCTATGACTCGGCAGAAGATTCATTCTTGAACGAAGCTTGAATCACGTCTTCATTGACTGGTCTTGAGCACAAAATCCGAATTCAACCAGCTCATGATGGACATCTTGAAGGATTTAGCCCGAGCTTTATTCTGTTTCTCCAAAAGTCACATTCGTCTGTTGAAAAAAAAAAAACAGGAAATTTGCTGGAAATTATTGGCAAACGTCAGAGCTGAATTTGATGAAGCACAAATTGATTGGCGACTTCGGCAATAGAAAAAGTTTCTGATGTGCTGCCTGTCGCACATCCGGAGGACGACGAGCTATTTTTGCACAGAAAAAGTTATTCGCGGGGGGGAAAGAAAGGCGTGCTATTGCGATGAAACTCGTTTCATTCGATGTGGCTTCGAGCTTAAATTATTGAAATCCTGTCTCGCGGAAAAAAATTTAAATTTGCCTTTTTGTCCCGTATACGGAAATATTTCTTGAAAGCCGTTTGTTTTTGTTTTTTCGATTCGGAAAAGCGCGCGTTGAAAAATCCTGGATTTTCTCCATCTCTCGATCGTTCAGTCGAAGCCAATTCTAAAATTGGAAGAAAATTAGAAACGGATTTCGTTGTTGATGTTCATCAAGAAAAGAATTGCAGAAACACTAGGTTGACAGGCTGTGTGTACCTGAAGTGCGGCACTTTCGACGACCCGGAAGAGCGACTGATGAAATAAATCGGTTGTTTTTGGCTTCTTTATCGCAACGTACTGGTGTGTTTCAATTACTTTCACAAGGTTCGGGATTTTTATTCCTTTTTTCCGATTTCACGAGAGACACACAAATTAATCATCTATATCAAGGATGACCTTCTTGCCGACGATCAACAGAGTTTCGCCGACATTTTTTAGTAAGCTGTTCAAAACTGGCGTTTTTGCGTCTTCGAACAGCAAATTGAAGTCATCTTCTGCTGCTGAGGAAAAAGAAGCAGTTAAACGAACTGATGCGGAAACTTGGGAGTATTATAAATTCGACAAGTATTCCTACTATGATCAAGAATTCCAGATAACGAAGCAGCGATTACCGACTCCGATTCCCCCTGGAATGGGTCACTTGGCACCCAGACAAAATGCTGAGCGCGAAAAGGCTTGAAAGCGAAAATTCCGCGAAGAAGAAAGGACGACGATTAAGCACGCGTTTTATTTTAGCCTTCCTTCTAACAACTTCTCAATGATGACGAATGCACAAACAATTGTTCCTCGTCTTAAATGGTTTCTTCGAAGCTCGCCTCTGGATGCAACATCGAATATAACTTCACAGCAGATGAGAGAATATTCGCGACATTTTCGTTCTTTTGGCTGAGGCAGCACCGAAACGTATCCGCAAAACTGGTCCTCCAAGTTAAATCTCGATTCTACGAAAATTGTTTCATCAGTTGTCATTTCAGGAATTTGAATTCTTGTGATTTGAAAATCCCATCTACTAGCCTTAATTTCCACAACTCATCCGGAAAGTACCTACTGCTCATTTCTCGTCATAATTGAGGTAGATGTCACCGGTGAATTTCAAGTACCTGTGCTCGAAAAAGTCGTTTATTTGTCGTCAAAAAAGAAATATTGTTACTCATGCTTGGTTAGATAGCTTCAATTCTTATATTCGCTGACGATTTCGTAATTTTTCAGGTCAGATAATATGTTGGATGAGTAATTTTCGTCTGACCAGTTTTGGCCCGTCTTAATGGTAACTTGTCAAGTCAAGCTCCGTATTGATCATATTTTTTTCGTTTTGCTCAATGCCCAACTGAAATGTTTTTCTCTGAACACATTCAGGTAACTTCTTTATTATTAAACAAAACTTTTTCTGAACTCATTACAGATAGAGTGCATCAGCAGAGATTTATTGAATTTTGTTCTTATTCCGGAAGTAACCCATATTACTTTGACCTGCTGTACAAATTGATCCATCTGCTGTTCAATTAATTTGACATTCGTGTCGCATGTGAGGTATACGCCATTGAGTAGAATGATCCTCAAAAGCAATTTCACATCCAAAGAACGATTTCAATTTTCTCTCATAGCTGTGAGCTCCATTTGAGTAATTTCGTGTTTGACGACTCGCTTCTTCCTTCGTTTTGTTCCACGACTATTAGACGGAGTCCCGGAGTTTTCATTTTTGCTGCCTTCTGCTTTATTCTTGCTGCTGCTGCTGCTTTTGCCAAAGTTTTTGACAGGCAAAAGCTTTTTTTTGCCAGTGGCGACTTTCACGGGCGGTGGAGGCGCCTCGGGAACGCCCTCGCAAGCCGACAGCCCTCCCACGGCACTGTCCGACACTGACGAGTCGTCGTCGCGTGTTTTAAACATCCCGAGGGCATCGCCGAGCGTCGGAAAAAACTGCTGTCGATCGTGTCCAGCGTCGACATCTTCTATTTCCAAGACTGGTCTTTTCGACCTACTGTTCGTAGGCTTTTTGCTGCTTGACTTCGAATGATGATTCGTATTGGGCGGAAGTTGGGGTTTCTTGGCTGGGCTCCTGAGGAAAGTGGGGATAATCCCGCGGCGTTCCAGCAAATCTTCGGGCTTCGGCGGCGGGGAAACGGCACAGGCTGACTTGGAGCGCTCCTCGTGGGCGCGAAGTCCGCCAAAGAAATTTCCCGGCACCCCGAGGTGGTGCGGGGTGCGACTTCGGCTCCGGAATCCGGTGCAGAGTCGGGTGGTGGAGATGGCGGCTCGCACGCTGTGATGCGGAGGAGGAGGATGATGATGATGCATCCCGTTGCTGTCGTGCTCGTCGGGGTGGCGCTGACGAGAATGATGATGATGATGATGATGGTGGTTGTGATTGTGGTGCCGATGGTGCTGCTGCTTATTGGCGTCGCCGGAATGAACGAAGCGGGAATGGAATGACGAGCTGGCGGACAGACTGGTGCCGCCTTGCTGCGCTGTCTGAGTAGCCACGTGGCTGTTGGGCGCGGATGATGATGACGTCGGAGGATCCGTCAAGCTGTTGGATCTCTCTTTCGTCTTCGGGGCTCTGTCGAAAAATGAATACAATCCCAACCGTGAAATGTACACGTTCAGGGAATGCAGGTGTGGACTCGCTTTCTGCAACGAAACTCACCTGTTACGCGAAGCTGATTTATCGTCCTTTGGTGAATTCGATTTCGAAGAAGACCTCGAACTGCTTTGATTATTTACGCTAGCGGGTCGCTCGGTATTTCTTGGGAGCGAACTTCCTCGCATGACTACAAGACGAGATTTCGGGCTCAATCCTGGCCCGTATTTCTGTTGACGAATATTGTAACATTTCAGATTATAGTTTGCTCAACCCCCAATTGCTCAGATTGAACATTTTAACGCTGTCTGTATTACACATAAGTGTCACATGTATCACGACGTTTCATCACAAGCTTTATTTCAGGCTACGTTAAACAGAGCTAATTTTCTTTTTTGACCCTTGAAATAGTGACGTCTGTGAGATGAAAAACGAACGTTGACGAAAATTTAGGGCATGGAATGCTGGGCTTCGGACTTTTATTTGTTCAAAACTCGTGGAACAAAATGAAAGCGAACCGAATTTGCAGCGCCTGATCAAAATTATTCAATTTTTCATTCGATCACGATACTTCCAGAGGATTTTCTTTTCAGTATTTTATTATCGCAGTAAGCGTCATTTGGATCAGAGATTAAAAGATGAACGTACGGGTACGGTATGTAAATGGAAAAAAAATTACCCAGAAACTGCAAGAAATTGTTCAGTAAATGTGGGGTTGAACAAATTTTGGCCGATGAAAACGTCAGATTACTTCGACTTGTTGATTATCCGCGTTTTACTCTGGAATAATATTTTTAGCTCACATATTCAATCGGGGAGCCGAGTTTCTGGGGCGAGTTAATCCCCGAATTGCAGGGTTTCCTGATGGCGTCGAGCAGCACGAAACTTGAAGAATGACGTCGAACAGGCGGGCATTGATGAAACCCCTTTTTGGCCGGGGAAAAGTTGAGCGAATCCATAAGCGCCGTGATCTTCGCGATTTCCGGAGACCCGCCTTCTGACCTGACCTCGTCTGTCCGGTCGCAGTTGCTGAGCTCGAAGCTCGATATGGAATTCTTGAGCTGAGGCTGGAGCAGAGACGACGTGGCGCTAGGAGTGGAAAAGCTGTGGAAGAGTTGTCTTTCAGCTTCGCTAGGTGTCACGTCCAACTCGCTGCGCTTGCTCATCGACGATTCTGGACGATTATTGACGCCGATTTTGGCCATTTTGTAGCTTTCCGTGATCCGTCTACGCATGGAAGGTGCTATTGCGGATGCAGAAGCATTGTTTCTTTTGGAGTGGGAATTGCCCCTTGGGTCTGACCGTCCGTTTCTTTTGTCCTTCACGGGCTTACCAGTTTTCGTCTGCAAAATCACAATTCACTCTTCGTGACACTTCTCGTAACTAATATGCACTGCTAATTTTAAATTTTGAAAATATCTACATGCTTATGGGATAAGCCTTGATGTTCTATTCATGCAGGCGCTGATTATAATTAATAACTTGAAAAACCAAAAATCAGCTCTAAAACGCGTGTTTAACCCCAGTTCATCCCAGGATGTCAATTATTACCGTTCCTAAAACGTATTTTAGTCTTCGAACTCCTCATTCTCTCAATTCAAAATGCTTTTTTTTTTTTTTTAATAATTTTGAGTTTGAGTTAGACTTGTTCGCAATTCATTTCACAACTATTCTATCATGTGGTCCTCACCTCTAAAATGCCATTCATATTAGATCTACATGCATCCGCAACTCCAAGAATTTCGAACTTTTAAATGTGAGAATACAACACTCATTTTCAATGAATTTAATCCATTCTTAAACTAGTCTCAACAGTATTAAAATGCACATTTTTTTCGTGACGTTTTTGTACGCATTAAATTTGTATGGGAGTTTTTGTTGATTGTATATGTAATCAATTTATAAGTACTGTGCTGCTCGCAGATTTCATGATTTTATTTGCGATACCTTCAAATTGCTGCTTGAAAAAGTCTTGTGTGTAATTTAGCATCAGAGAAAAATAATTCTGCCTAGTATAACAATGCACAAAAGGCAATTCTTTTTTCTTTTTTTTTCTGCGATTCCATTATATGAATTGTAGGTAATCTGCACAATCAACAATAAAACTGATGCGAACAATTTAACAAGCACGTTGGCCCTCTGTGAGCTGATTTTGGCTTTTGTTATGATCATATTCGATCTGTCTTTTTCAGGTTTTTATGCTTAAAGCATGTAACTACTGCATACTGTAATTACTTTTCATGATAAACTCCCGTCACTTATTGTGGCGATTCATTTTCAAGGATACAACTTGCTGAACTGCAAGCTAGCGTATTAAACCTCCAAGTTGCTCCTATGATAGTGAAAATTCTTGTTATTTTTATTATTTTTTTAGAGTGAATAATGCCGGTATGTGAAATCTTGAAGGCAGGCAACAAGAAATGAGCTACCTATAAGCGAATGACTTGGATGTACTGCGACGTGACATCGATAAAAGGGCAGTTTATTCTGGATGTGGGCAGCATGCTGATTCTAAAACGCAGTTCCTTCCGAAAAGGAAGAAAAGATGAATGCACATCCTATACTTACGTGTTTCAAGGCCGAGAAAGCAATTTGGGAGTTCTGAACACGCTTCCATTTTTGGCTTGACTTGCGTTTCGCTGGAACACATTCCGAATCCGTGCTGGTGTCCTTTCCTGGTGACGTAGAGCTTTTTCGAGGTTTAGCACTCGAGGCCCTGCTTTCAGAGCCGCTGTCTTCCGTCTGATCCTCGCTATATGCAAATAACCAAACGAATGATTGGAAACATTTTTAGAAGATTAATTTACGATCTTCGGGAAAATGAAAACCGCACGTAAGATGTCAGCGGATTCCGGGTATATCCCAGGAAAAATGCCACAGCGTTCGAATGAATAAAACAATTTCAGCAGTTCTCTGAGCGATAGATGCCCGCACGTAACAAGTTTCAAGTGCTTCAACTTTTTAAAGAAAATTGTCACGAGATGCCAAAGTATTTTTGCTTGGTTTCGTTCCTTCCATACGTTCATGCACTATTATCAATGTGCAATGTAAAGAAAATATTACAAGTTACTATTGAACTTTTAAGCAACTTATGAGCGGCTGAAATCTTCCCTCAGCACAAGGTGTTTCAAAATTTCTCTCAAAATTCCTTTTTTAGTTTTTGAAACTGATGAAAATCATGGGGCACAGAATCAGATGTGGCGATATAGTGATTGGAATCATGCTAAAAATGTCAAAAGATCACTGCGAAAATCAGCAAATTATTCCCTGTCTTTCTTTAGGGCGAAAAGATCGTCTTAGAACCGAAAAAAAAAATTCAAGCCGAATTAAGAACAAGAATAAAACCCTTTTTAATATTTTCTTATACGACAAATTTAAGCGATAATTGATTCAGCCAATATATAAGTCGTTGAGACCTCTGTTAATCCCTCGTTAACCAACGAATGCTGTAAATAGATTCAGAGCTCACGTTAATTTTTTGCTGTTAATCATCTGCTGGAGATTGAAAAAACCTGTGGTGTAATGCGTTTTTAATCCTTAAAATTTTGAAAAGGCATTTTTACTTCGTGGAAATTTCAACGCAAAGTCAAAGGCTCAAAGCTAACGATTTCCGGGGCCTCAGAAATATTCACTCGAATATCAAACGCATTTTTTTTTTTAGAAATTATGCTATAAAAAAAATTAAGGTTTGCCTTTTTTTGCAGGTGTAGATGTTATTTTTTTTCTAAACGACATGCACATCCAACGACACACACCTGTTTGGATATGAACTGACAAGACTTTATTTAAAACACAACAGTCATTTTTATCATACTTGGTTTTTCTGTAAATAGTATAAATACCACAGAAAAGAATCCCAATTTTTCTTAGAAGTTGAGATTATGCTCATGAGTTGAGTAGTTGACCGAATAGCAATTGTGTAATAAACAGCCACATTCGACATTGGTGAAATTGAATACATCAGTATAACGAGCGCACAATTCACATTCGCAAAGAAAATTTTTACTTTTTTTTTTACAAAAAGAGGCGCGTTTAGCAATAAATAAGTGGCTTACATCATTCGAGTAAAGCTGTTTTGACTTGAAATTAAGACGAATGTATCAAGTTCTGCTCGCGGAGAAATCGTGATTCATCGCGAACCGACGGTCAGTTTTCCGTCATTACGAAGGTGATCAGGACAAGAAAAATGGTTACCTTTCTAGGTCATGGATGGGCACATGGGCCGGCCACTCGGCACACGAACCCATCTCCGCCAACCGGGTCTGGATCCGGGTTCTCATCCTTTCCTGCAAAAATACATATATTTCGGGACTCATTCACCACCTGTGTTCTTCGTCACATCTTCACCATCATCCCCTCTCATCGGTTATTACGACCGAGCGTCACGCACGCGAACCACTCATTAACCGAATCGCTTTTGCATTTCAGCGACCAAATAACTCTTCGCTCTTTTCGTCGAAGCTAGTATCGAAAAAAAAAATAAGTCTGCGAGGTTAGCAATTAAGTCTTGCTGGTCCTCCTATAATGGTTGAACACCTGCCCAATTGATTCAAGTTGAATGGGTGTTTCTGAGTCCATCTCCGGCAAAGAAGAGGAACCAAATCTCGCCAACAGCAGAAATTTAGGATTACGAGCTAATTTTGCTCCGGGACTACAATTTTCAGTTGATCTATTCTCGACAGGAAAAATCACCACATTCTCATTATGACTCATTTGATACGAGGCCAGAAAAGCACGCTTATAATGTACTCACTTGACGATAATGCGCAAAGAAATAAATATTAAATCTATGTCAAGATAATTTCGCTGTAGAGAAGCTGCTCATACATCATTCCAGATTCATTGCCAATTTCTTCCCGGAGCTCTTTAAAATACTGAAAAAATTGCATGGAAATTTACAAATGAATTTATAGTCAATTTTTCTCAAGTTCGCAGGTAAATTTGGCTCGAAAAGTATAGGTTTCTTGCATTCAGGAAAGAGCAGTCTATATAACTAATGCTAAAAATCTTAAAACTTATATATGAATATGACCTCCTATGACAATAAGTTTGTGAATCTCCGTAATGAGTGAATATTTGCGAGGATTTGAAAATTATTCACTGCTTAGGAATTTCTTTGAAGATGAGGGAAAGGTTGTAGAAAGATTTTACTTGCACAGGAATTTTTTTTCCTATACTCATTCTTGAGGGTTCACTCGACTAGAGGACGAAGTCTTTTACTCATGCCTGGTTATTCGAGTCTTGCGTGGCACAAGTTTATTTCACCTCCAGACTCACCTTTGACGGATCATCATCGGAGAACTCGAGTAGAGCGTCACAAAAGTGACGACCCATCATTTTGTAGTGCGTGGTGTTGAAATGGTGGCCCACCTGCGAAGAAAAAATCCCATGATTCCGCTTTCTTCTCACGAAGGAGACTTCAAAAAGTTTTACAAAATTATTCTTCCACCCCACGTTTCAAAAAATATCAAGCAATTAAATATTTCAGATTCAAACTTTCAAATACTGAGCAAAAATGAAGATGATTTCGATTCAGAAATTTAAGCAGCCAGCCTAAAAAAAAAAAAAAGGAGGCACAGCACTGCTCTTTTTGAAACTTGGAGCTGACATTTCGCCTACGTCGAATGGACGAAAGGACTGTATGTTGATGATAAATTCTTCAAGCTGTCGTCGATGATAAATATTTAGACCTTTAATTGATTGCCAAAAAGGTATCCCCATTTTTTAGTTATGCCATACTTGATTTTCTGGATTCGATAAAGAATCTGAAGATAATCAGGTTGCTCGTTGAACTTTTTAAAATTCAAAACTTCCAAATGCACTGGAATCTGGTAAACCAGCAGTAAAAATGCTCTCTATCGTTGCTGTTCTCATGTGAACACCTGCGCATATTTAAAGTTGATGTCAATTTTCATCCTCTTACGTCCGCATAAAAAGAAAACGAAAACGGGGGCATGGCCCAAATTTCCACCGCGGGCCTTCAAAGCTTATTGCGATCGAAATTCCGCCAATTATTTGATGCAATTAGTGGTTGAAAATAAAGCCACGAAATGGGGTGTATAGTTGAGGGCATTCATTAAGTGTTCAGACTAGCTGCGATGATGTCCCCGCAGGGTGCAATCAGTATCAGCGTCCGCCTCGCAGGAATCAAGTACTCATAAATCTGCATTTTATGGAATCCTAGGGAGAAATTTTTTGAGAAAACCCCTCAGCAGATTACTCCTAATCATCGGGAGGTGAGGGGGGGGGGATAAGATTTCACAAGGCTGTGTGGATATAGGCAATAAGAGGAAATAATAAATGAGGATATCCTGCTGAACGCATCGCGATGAGAGAGCCACGATCCACGTGTTCCAATGAGTGTGACTCACTTTGCCCTCGAGATTCGTGCCGCCAAGCGAGGCTTCGAGCGTGTACGAATACTTGACGCCGAAGTTGAATGCCACGACTCTCGCTGTGCCTTCCTTGTCCTTTCGCACATGGAACCGACAGCTTTCAAAACTGAACTGCAATTGAGGAGAAATAGAGCGGGAAACAAAACAATCGTTTCACGTTTAAAATTCAGCAGATATCCGGGCTGTATAATCAACTGGGCATCAGATACACCGTGCACGAGTTCCCATTCCTGTCAGCCTTAAATTCTATGGACATCTTTTCTTTCTTCTCGAAATTTGGAAAGGTTGATCAAATAACTGCATGACTGTGTGTGACACGAAACGGGATTTTTACTCAAACCACTTGATTTTTTTATTGAATTGTTAAATTGGCCGATGATCATCGGAATTTCCAGGTACTTCGGGCATGTAATACTTCGACTGGCCATTCTTGTTTTTTCTAAAACTTCAAGAGTCCTAGTTCCTGTGATATACGATAATCAGAGCTTTAAAATTCAATCATCCATCGAATAATTACGATCTTGTGCTGCGCAAATCCGGGCACAGATCAGTCATGGATTTAATTAACCTTTTCAAATTTCGAGAAGAAACAAACGATGTTTATAGAACTTAAATACGAGTACTTTCTCAAATTAGATTAACCTGCGTTTTACAGATAACTATATAAATAAATACTGTACATGAATCATGCACAATAGACGTATGACCTCGTAGTGAGAAGCTGAATGTGCAGATCGAACAGCAAAAAATCTTACGTTACTTTTTCAACTTAAGTTCATGAGGGCCAATAGGCAGATGTTGTTTCTCGACATTTCAGGGAATTTCGGTAACACAGAATGACGTCAGGTCTCGGGTCAATCAAATTTTAAATCCCGAATTTTTATTTTTTCCGTGATGCTCGATTATCCTCGTTTTTCAGCACCCCATCCATTTTAGTATCACACATCAGGCGCTCTACCATAGATTTTTTGTTCATGTTGGAGAGGATGCGAATTGATGTGAGGAATAAAATCGGAATATACTGTAATGTGATTATTTATTGTATTTTTTAATATGAGGAACCTCCTTATAATGGCTCAAAGAAATTGATATTTATTAATGTCCCAAAAGAATCAACAACTCAACATCTTCTTCAAGAAAAATACAGGCACACAATAATTAACACAATTTCTCAGAGAATTGGTTCAAGCAACGGAAGCTAAGAATGGGGATGACATTCTGAATGAGAATGTGTTGTCAATTTCAGGTTTTTGAGGCTTTTATGCATTATTGAGGAAGGGCTGTGTTAACCTTGTTCTTGGTGGAGGTTGGGATTCTAGGCTGCTTTCTGATTAGCCATTTACGTCAAAATTGAAGATGATTTGCAGCATTGTTGTACGAGTTTTGAAGGTTCTTGGGGGCAAGATCTTTAATGCTGGGGTCTCAACAAGGCCCCAGCACCTGTTTAAGGGATGCAGGGCAGTTTATTAAAATAATTATTCACGGGCGCGTGCCACAGACCCCAAAAACAGATGGGGGAACCTTTGGTTAAATACATGATGGAATGCAAACGTCACTGCCTAGAAAATACAGTGAATGATTACACTTACTATACACTAAAATATGATTTAATGCAGGAAGGAATAACAATTGGTTGAAAAACTTTTCGTTAAATGCTTTTCTGCCATTTCAGCAACTTGCATTTCGTGAGATTCTCTAATTAGTCCAAATAATAATGATAAAATTCTTACCATTTTCGGAGAAGTATATGATAGAAGCAATGGGAAGACTTGAGTTGACAGATCACCAGGCTCGGATTTCGAACCTCCGCCACAACCGTACATGAAATAATTGTGCTTCCGAGAATGCCCATGAATGTCGCAGTAAAAAAACAATTTGTTGCTAGCATTGTTATCATCCGTCAACCTGTGAAAACACAGAAAATAGAGGCAAATGAATGCATAGCTTCTATAAGTGGAAACCAGCGCATAAACGATTTGCAATTCAAATGCCGTCGAGATACAATCAAACATCAAGTTGATTTAACAAGTGGGAAAGCTCCGTCAGTGTTCCGTGAGTGAGTGATCACATATTTCTGTGGGGGAAAAAAACTATTCAACAAATTTAAAAGAACGTCGTTTAATAAAAACAAATTATACAACCGGGTGCCGTTTTTGGACTTTCTGACCTGCATGAACCCGTTTTGACATCCAAATTAATAAAAAAAACGATTGAAATTTGAAACGCAAAAAATATGGCAATTCGGCCGCTTTATTCAAGAAAATATCCGAACTATCTTGGGCGACCTGAAAATATTTTAAGCGCCATAGATACGTTAAATTGAAATTTGTTCTAGGAAATTTTCGCAATGAAGAAATCGTGAATGTCTTTCCAGAAAAATTCGAAAGCCGTGTTGAAGATTCAGAAATTATTTCGGGGAAAACGTTGGAAGCCAATTGAGAAGTGTAAAATAAATGACAAGCAAAATTTTTCTACGAAATCATGCCGCCACCGGCTGCCAAAATATGTAAACTAACCTCCGTAAAAATGTTTTGACGTGCCAAATGATCGGAAAAGCATCCTTGACAACAACCCGGTATTGTCGATTGAGGTCTTTCCCCGATAACGAGCACCGGTAGTTACCCACGATCACGCCATCGGGATTGAGCATCGGGATTATTTTGAATATGAACTTTTCTCGCAGTACCTGTTCAAATATATATATATATAAAATAAATGATGGGTCAAGGGTCAACGACGGTGACGCAAGAACGATAAATTCCTGCCATCATTCGAGAACATAGCGATGCATTCCGAAGGTTTGAGGAATGTATTCAAGAATGAAAAGGCACGAATCACCTGAGCTGAATGTTCCTGGCTTGTTAGATAATCGATAATTCCCTGCATAATCCAAGAGGACGGAGTTTCTCCCGGATGAACTCGAGCGGTCAGAAAAATCACCGGTTTCTATGATGAAAATTAAAATATTTTAAACGAGTTTTTCAATAATACTCGCTTGAAAAATGTTGACCTTTTCTTCGGGTGTGAGAGTCGGCCATCTTTCGGTAATGGTCAGCATGTAAACCTGGTTCCCAGCCTGCGACAGGCAGAAAATTCGTTGTCTGCACACTGACGCTCTGAACGGATCTTCCTGGAATTACAAAACAACAAAACCCCATCAATTCAAAATAGATAACTATGGATGATGATACCCAATGGCAAGGGGTAAAACTTACTTGTATTGTTGCAAGGAAATCCTGGAGTTGAGTGTAAGTGTAAGGGTAACAATGTGCGAAGTAACACCTGTCACCCTCTTGATCGAATTTAACGTTGAATGTCAGGGTGTAACTTCTTCCCCCGTCGTCGGAATCATCATCTTCGTAACTGCATACATTTTTCGTAGTACATTCAAATAATATTTAAATACATTTTTTGAAGTGATTTTTGCAGAAGATCCGAAGTTGGTATTTATTATAATTTAAAGTGCGTCGAGCTATGGGTTTTGCAACTGAAGTGACGCATTGGATGAACCGTAGTAGTTGCTCAATTGGAAGGTCTTTAATTTCGTTCAACGTTGAAATTGCAATTGAATTTTTCAAATACCGCAGTGACTCACCAAGTATTTCTGTAATACGCAATGTTGAACCCAGACCTGATCCAGCCAAGACCAGTTTCTTCAGCTTCTCTTTCAGAGTACATCAGAGGTCGCAGGCCATGTTTATACAGACTATCTTTTTTTGATAAGTTCACGATTGAAAACCTGTCAGATAATTATAATAATTGCTAGTAATTCATTTGCATTAAGGACCATTCAAGCCATTAAACTCGCTCCTAGAGAATGATATGAAAATAATCGGTGAATTTTGGGAATATTAATAAAGTCTACTTTCAATCTTGTATGAACAGTTACTGGTTATATAGTTTCTCAAAAAATATCCAGGCGTTACAAAGATGAACAAATTATCTCTAATATAATCCCGGAAGGTTTGCCTCTCTTTTGGCCAAATATGTCGCAAATTCAATTTTCACGAGCGTCGCTAAAACAATTAGCTTAGCAATTTTCGCCAACTGGAATTTAAAGGACAGTACTTATAAAAATATCTAAAAAAAAATTTGAAAAAGGACAAAATCTGAAAGCCAATGAGGTAAACACTGCTTTTAAACTAAATTCATCATTTTGGCGACAAAAATTTTAGAAGTATTACAACTTGAATGAAATGTTCTCACCCACTTTGATAAAACTTTTCATAAGACCATTTCTCAAATAGCTCAAGCTAAAGATAATACTACGATGAAAAAAACATGAAATAAAAGCGTTTTAGGGTAAATTAATTTGAACTCTCATTTGTATACCCAAGTTCAGAAACGAAGTTCCGTAGTTTTTTAAATATCGGTAGTTTAAAATCGTTATTCCAAGATTTGCTGGAGCAAGGTTTATATTTTATATGTAAGTACAGTACCTGTAGGTGAGATCGGTCCGCATATTTTCAACGCTAAAGTAGTACCACTGCGTGTGGCGTCCGGTGTACAAATCCGACCTCAAGTGCAATTCGTAGAAACATTCGCTGATTCGAATAGCCTTCGCCAAATTGCCAGACTCGAATCGGGAATCAAATTTGAGTGTTGTGTCCGCTGGCAACGGTGCAGGCAATGACGGGTAAACCACTTCGTCCTGAACCCCTCGTCCATCCCAACTTGATCGACAAAACTGATTGAATGAGGAAGAAAAAATCTTTAAAAAATAAAAACGTGAGGTCTCACAGAATAAGACTAGCTCGCAGAAAGTAATCTGAAATTCTGGGTTCGTCATGCACGAAACTACGTCACGAACATACAAAAACGGAAGAAAAGCTGGTTTTCCGTATTGAAAAATCATTTAAAAAAACGAACGTTTTCAATCCGACTTTTTAAACTGGCGAAGCACATTCTGGAAGCTTTGTTATAGTTTTTGGAACACGAGGTCATTCCAGGCATTGTATTCTCTGGAAACGAGAACGGAATCGTATATTGATGGAAAGGCTTAATCACAGTGGGACATCGCTATACTGTAGTACATTGCTGGTTTTCTGTTGCAACAGCAGCTGGATCCATTTCCAAGATAGCCAAGTTCATAACCTACTCGCCATGTTCTTTTATTCCGTCAAGATTATTTTGATTACAGCAACGGACAATTGGAAGTCCATGATGAACCAAGTATATCAAACGGGAAATTTTCTTCAGTTCCCTTGTGATCTGATGAATAACCCACACGAGAAGATTTCAAATTGAAGTTTCATATAGTGCGAACTCGTTGAGAAAATTCCCCTGCTTGAAATATCCGGGTTTCGAAGCTGGGTTTCATCAGATCTGTCGTGAATTGTGACAAATATACCGGTCTAATTATTTAACCCCAAAATTGGAGTCGCTGCTATTATAAACTCTAAAAGTGGTTCCATTTTCTGAAGAAAATTATGGGAAAATCTATAAATCGCAAGATAAATTTTGAATATTTCTGCTGAGAATCCTTGTTTGCTTGTTTTTTTAATCTAGGAGGTCGAAAAGAAATGCAGATTATATTACAGTAAGCCTTTCACAAGTATGAATCTCAGATTGGGAGATTTATGAAAAAGGGAGATTTTATTTGACAGGAATTCTTGTTCAAATTGGATGAAGCGTATCCTTCAAATTGTATCAGGCTTAAAACCCCCGACTTTCAATCACAAATGTGCTCGTAGAGCTTCGAGTTTAATTTTAAAAAGAAGTCTTGTAAATAGGGCTTCGGCGCATTAACTTATTTCGCTAAGACATATTTTCCTAGAAATTAAATAAATCGAGTCGAGGGACTTACGTAATTAACTGCAGAGGTGGGTAAATATTGATAAACGACAGTGCCTTCATCTTCTCCGACTGGCTGAGGACAGGGTTCGTAACCCGACGCCACGTAGAGAAGTTCCTGCGACTTTGGGGGATTGTCAATATGCAATACCCTTCCCGGGGAGACCTGAAAATTAAATAAATAAATGAAAAAAATTGAAAGTCAACAAGACACTTTTTTGCTGTAAATGGGAATAAATGATGATGACGAATATATACTACGAAAGATGTTTTTTTTTCTCTACGACCCATGACATGGACAAGCAGGTGCTTCGCGCGAGTTGCCACGTTTGGCTCATGGGTTTATTATTCATTTTATTTTATTTTATGTTTTAATAATATTCAAGAAGACTTATTGGCATACTTACTTGACACTCCATTGGCCACCTGGGGGCTTGATATGGACAAGGAGAATCGTCTGGAGGAGCGATGCAAAGTCTCAGCAATTGCCTAACCTTTGAACCCGGTTCGTCTTCTGACCCAACCGGCGGCCCGAACAGCAACCTGGTCGTTCTGAGGATCTGAATGGTTGTGCTCGGAGGTCCTGGCACGGAATTGTCTCCATTTGTAGGCTCTGTAATTATTCAACAGCCCACAGGTAATTACGACGAGCTGCCGTGAAACAATTACCACCGAGTGGATTCATTTGAGCACAGCTTGCGGCAATTTTTCATCAGAAACGTTCCGCATTAGATTCAAGCTTCAATGTAGAAAAAAAATATATAGTGATCACTTTGATGGGTAACTGATTTCTCCGTAGACCCAGATTTATAACCTTTTCAAGTAGTATTTAAAATTAAAAATGGCTGCTGAGGTGATCATGTATTTTCTAATGATTGGCTGAATCATTTCCAGTTTTAAGCATTTTCTCTGATTTTCTAATCTATATTCAGCAATGGTGTTTTCATGAATGATGAAATTCTTGCTCATGCGTGTTTTTTTCTCTCGCCTCGTCTCTGTAATCTTGAGAATTGACTGATTTTTTTCCAATGATGCCTCCAAATCATCAATGGTTTGAAATCGGGTCGTAATGAAGGTCCAAAAGTGAAAAGCTCACAAAAAAAAGACTGCCAAAAATCGAATTTGTTGTCTGAATCTAAACCGATAACTCAGCAAAACAAAATCAAGCTTAGTTTTTATGAACTGTGGCTTCCATTTTTTTCTGGACTACACTTTTGGAAATCAGACCCCATTGTGCGAAAATGTGAGACAACTTTCGAAATGTCCTTCGAGACGAACCACCTAAAATACCGCAGCACCTGTGCGAGTAATTTACATCATACTCCTTCTGCGAGCGATGAGGACGAAAAATTACTGCTTCCGAAACTAGGCAATAACTCTGACGGTTTAATGGCAGTGTACCCGACATACTGCGTGCCGATAATTGCAAGGTTTCAAGGTTGAGAAGTACCTTTTCTGATCGCGAAGACGGGAAACAGATCCGATTGCAGCCTAGAAACATTCGTTCCCCGTAATGTTAGAGAATCTGAAGACCCGCTTTCACTAGAACGACTCCAACGGTGCGTTATTTGCATAACCGATGGAAAGTGAGGCTATTTTTCTTGAAATCCAACGAAAATTATACAATATTTCAGTGGCGACATCGGTTTGTTATAAATCAACTCATTTTCTCAAATTACAAACTGAAGTATATTTCTTCATAATACTAGCACATTATCCGGGCGAGGAAGATAATTTCTTTGCCTCGACATCCGAATATCAGGAATGATGCAAGAATATGAATTCCTCAATTATAATTTTCAAAATCAAATGATCACCTTTCTAATAATCTGGAAGACCAACAAAATTTCCAGAAGCCTCATATTTTTTCAAATGCAAAGTTATGCTGTGACGCTTTGCTTTTCCTGGGATTATATACAGTACTGTAATTCATAAAACCGAATATTTCTTCGATTTATGCTTATTATGTCAGTCATAATTTTTAATGGTCACGCGGAATTTATATTTATTAGAAGGCAATCGAAAGGGGGAATTCAGATCATATACGCCAATTAGTTTCCTCAGGCTGACATGAAATATTAGCGAAATTGATTATACGTTGTAAACACAGCATGGTTAATTGATATTTTACAGTTCACGATGATTGAATGCGTAAATCTTATGAATAATCAATCTTTCTGAAAAAGTACGTTTAAAACGTGTGGATGAAATGCTCGAACACTTCAATTAGGCGATTAATATGACCTTTGCGTCGCTCCACTGAAAAGAATGCGAGTATTTTTATTACTGTATTGGCAACTGAGAACTGAGTTTATAGTTCTGATCCACTGAACCGAAGCCAACCGTCTGAAATCTTTCGACACACACACAATTTTCGTTCGAAATATTTCTATCTGGAAAGGTGTTTTAGCAGCAAAACAAAAAAAATTGCAAGAGCCACTTCTATTCGACTTCCACCTGCCGGTTCTTCGAAGGTTCGGCCAGGACTGTCGTCTGTCAGCAGTCGCAAAACTCGATGGAAAACAACAAGAAGAACTAAAAGAAAAAAAACCCCTATCACCTTGCCCTTTTCAGAAATTCCTTCCATTTCCAGAACACGATTCCCCTTCCAACCAGGACGTGTATATACACTGTCGAGATATTCACTCACGATTTTCACTCTATCCTTCGGGTCACTTGCCCTGCGTCTGCCCATTTATTCCCCCGTGCTTCGCAGTGTATGCGGGAAAACAATTTCTAAAAAGAAAAAAGGCTCCCTCCTCTTGCGACTGCGACTCCCTTTTTGCGATACTGACGCTTTGTCAAATACGAGGGGGCCATTTTCTGAGGAAATTTTTCATATTATTCATATGTGAGGGTTTGCATTAACGAGCACAGGATCTACTTCGGCGACGGGAGCGTGGGGACCAGTCCGGGGGAATTTTGGCTTGGTCGATATTCCTTCGCCGAGCGAGGTCATTAGTTCGATGGCGTTCCGCAAGATTGACAAGCGTGGTGTTGATAATTGTTTTAGATTATAATTGATTCCTCGTTCATCTGTAGTTCAAAAAGCCCCAAAGATCGTCGATTGATTGACAAAAAATTGGTCCATTAACAGATGAAACGAATATTTCAACATTCATCTGTGACCCACTGCATCTGCTAGACTGTCATTCAATTTTTTCCGTGAAGTAAATATTTTTTGTCATGAGGTTCAGCTTTGGAATCTTTACTAGTACAATGTCCATTGTACTACGACGTCCTGGAAAAAAATTTAACATCGATACGTGAAGAAAATGCTGAAAACTTTGGCAGTTAACTTTCCTTTTATTTCAAATACAAAAGCCGTAATATAACGAGCTTTAAAATTTTATTGGCGATTCGAAAAATAAAACTATTTGACCGCAAAAAAGGCTTTGTCGAAAATGAAGGATGAAAATAATTAAGTCGCTGGTTTATTTCCCCCGAAAATAGACAGTGCCAACTCCTCCTAGGGCATCAAACACAGGAACAAATGAGTCGCTCACTCTTACGTGGAAGCAGGCTATACATTGTCTGAAGACCAATGAAGCATTTAATTTTATTCAGTACCGGACCAAAATAACTTCTGAAACAAACAAGTACTTCTCAATAAAAAAACGACATGTCTAGAAATCTGACTCCAAACGTTCGTCATCATAAAACAGAAGCTTACTACAGTATCAATAAGTCCATTTTAGTATTCGCGTACGTCAGAAAAAAGTGCGATTACATTTTGGCATTTCCAAAAATCTATCAACGATAAGATTCAGCTTGAATGCAGACAATATCAAAGGAATGTTCTCAGCATTAAAATTAATTTGAAGGAGAACATGCAATTCATCATGCAGAAATTTGTGCTCAGGATGCGTTCAATATTATCGAATGACGATAGAAAGTAAATATATTACCTATACTATTTAAATGAAATTTATTGGCAATGCTAGAAAGAAACTTCGAAATTGCAATAAAAAAATCACAATAATATGCCGTATAATAAGGAAGAATAAAAACGGGGAAAAGGTGGAATAAAACATGATAGAAAAGTTTGGCTCGTAAAAACTAAATGTGGTTGATTTCGGTATAATCTTATCAAAATTTCAATATTTTAAAACCCGGGCCAAAAATATCATCTGATTTCGGAAGGGGGATTTTCTGTCCGTTCAAAATTGGTTCATTTAGCACCCAAAAAAAATCCCGACAAGAATTGATGAGCTCCGAGGAGAGGAAATCGTTTTTGGTTTCGTGAAAAAAAACTCTGAGCAGAGCTTTCATAAAATAAACAGCAACCTTTCCTTTTCGAATCCCAAAAACTCCTCAAAAGTGTCATACTTTCTACGATTCAAAAACCTCTCACCTGTTGAATATTGACGAAGTATCAGCGATGTGACGGTGTCGTCCAAAAATGTGAACGGAGCAAATCGTCCAAAAAGTCAGTAGAAAAGTTTGTTCAAGGGTGAGAACCTTCAAAATTTATCAATTTCATGGAAGACAAGGCTGTTTCTTGTTCCTCGACCAGAGAATCAGTCGATCTGACGCTACACTCGCACAAATACAGTAGTTCGATTGATCTCAATCCGCATACTTTCCAGATTTTCTTTCTTTCTTCTCAATTCAATATAAAGTCTAAATAACCGTTTCGAAGAAACGAATTGAAATTGGAGATGTTCCTCCTTCAAGGCTCGTCCAAGTTCTGCTCGGAGTCTCGGGTTTTAGCCAGGGGGTAACCTTATCCCTTCCTCGAAAGCCTGCTTGTTTATTCTTTCCTTTTCCACTTCTAACCCCGCTGTCGTATGTCACTTGTCTGCCGCCGCCGCATTACGGCGAATCCAAAAAGCGGCCCGCGGTCAGCACCAGCAATGCTTCCCAAGGTCAAAAATAGCTCCTTTGTGATCCCAAATCCGCGTAATTTTAACTAAACAGGACATTCCAACCTTAAACCAGTGCTCCTCAACCTTTTTGGACCCACTGATCCGCAAATTTTCTGTGGACCAGCACATTTCTGTAACATTTTCTGCGGACTGGCAACATGCCATTAAATATTTGCAAAATGGCTAAAAAAAATTAAGTACATCCTATTAAGTCCTCCAAACCCAACTTGTATTTCAAAAATCAAGTTAAGAACCAGTGGAGCAGCTGTAGAGTAATTTCTTTTTTTTTTTAATTAGAAAGCTGGGCTTAACAAAGGGTTTACCAGAAGGAAAAGTGGAAATAATTTATTTCAGCAGGTGAGAATTATGCTTGAAAGTTATTACAGCAAAAGCCTTTTTTTTATTTATAAGCAGTTAATTCCAACTGCCACTGCTTTTCCAAACCATCAGATAACAAAACACACTTTGTTACAACTTCTGGTGCATTTTTTTATGCTGAAAATTTCCCACAGACTGGCAAAAACGTCTGTGGACCAGCACCAGTCTGCCGACCATAGGTTGGGGAACACTGGTTTAACCCTTGGGCGGCAAAGTTGGATTATTGTTGCAAATTTTTGTTGCACATCACAGAGGTGAAGAAAAAAAGGACAACAAGGAGTTAAGGGCAAAGTTAGGAAAAATCCTGATGTTTTTTCCCTGGGTGCAGAAGAATTTTGCAGGAAATTTACAAAATGCTCAGTTAGGCTACTGGCTTTTCTTGGATTTATCCTGACTCTGCCTCAGCCCACCTGCTGGAAGGGTTTTCCTGACCTTCAAAAAACTGAAAATTTTGAAGGATACAAAAATAATCTGACTCTGTCCTGATATGGGAAAGAACCCCCTGACGTCTGAGGGTTATACCAGTGGTCCCAATCAGTGGTCCACAGACTGGTGGTGGTCTGCAGAAGTTTTTTGCAGGTCCTCAATACATTTTCTTTAGCATAATAAATCAAAACGAGCAATTAAGTTTCTCTGAAATTTGAAAAGGCAATGGGGATTGAAAATTCCAAATGAAAAGTGTAATTTGGCTTTTCTCCTAATAAAGACTTCAGCCAAATTTTCAAATACAAGTGTACAGAATTACATTATTTGAATTTTTCATACAGAGAGACCTTTCTTCAAGCCCAAGCATTTCATGTTTTGAAGACATTCCACTATAGCTGCTTCATTGGTTCTTGACTTAATTTTGTAAAAAAAAACATAAAATTTTAAATGTTTGCCCTGAAGTCTTTCAAGCAAAACTTTTTTCAGTCCGCAAAAATGTTATGAAATTCAATTACTGTATTAGAAATGTGCCGGTCTGCGAGGCAAAAAAGGTTGGGAACACTGCTTTACACTATTCAGAAACAAGATTTCAAATATTCAGGATTATATTTTGAATTGAGCGATTTTATAGTTCACGCGTGCACAATCAATTGAATTTTTTTAAATAAACAGTGGAAAAAGGAATTTTCAGAAGAAGTCTTTTGAACCCATTCCTGATTTCTCGGTTAAAATTTGATCATTGTTCACGTAAAAGTTGCGGATGTCACACGTACAATATGCGAGTTTTTTTTTTTACCCTGCTTTGATTGTTTGAGGCTTTATCTCTACCAGGAATCTTATTTTTAATTGAATTAAGGGCGAATTTATCATCATTAGTGTCAGTGTTTCAATCGATAAAATAATCCTCAGAATTTTCCCAACCCAAGCTTTATATATTTGATTCCTTGTGAATCACTTGATGGATTGACGTTTCTTAATGGTTCATTTCGTGTGTTCATTGGCCGAAAAGCTATTGTATACACGAGGATATGCATTTTTAAGTCTAGAAATATTATAAACAATAATATTGGCAAACGTTATTAACAGATGAAGTGCTGTCAGCATACAAGCAGGACATTAAAATGAATTCTCTTCAAAATCGTTGTTATAAATATGATCAGTCCCGAAAGCTTCAAGTGCCTTTATCATTTGTATTTTTTATATACAATATATATTTTTGTGACAGCTTGTGTTGAAAAAAGATCCAGAGGCATTGAATCAGTATTTTATTTTTTTTAATATCCGTTATGCTCTGACTTTTCGTTCTGGAATTGCGCTCACTTCACGTTATACAGATGGACTCTCATCCCTGCAAACGCAGAGAAAAAATGCGTTGTAGAGAGAATTTCGTTGAAGAGAACCCCTATAACATGGGGAGAAGACCCTAAGGAACCAAAAAATAATGGTGATACGGAGAAAATCGTAGAAAAGATCGTCGTAGAAAGAGTCCACTTGTATTAAGCTACTGCATCCACACATTCCTCTCCATGTCACAGTATGTTTGTTTTTTAATAAATTTCATATTTTCCTTCACATTGATGTGGCGTAGCTATTTTCAAGAAATTTCTAACTTATTGGTTTGAATGCCCCGCATTTGAACGAACCCAGTACTTTCATTGCGTTGAAGCTAGGCTCCTTCATTTCCTCACGAGTTTTTCTATTTTTATTCTCTTGTTAAAATGTATACTTAGCTTCGATAAATAGACTACAAAATAAACCTACGCTTGAATATCTCTGCCTTAATCGGAGTTGTCAAGGCGGAAAATTTTCAATTTTCAGTAAACCAAGCAGCGTTAAATGAGGAAGTATTTTTGCCCACTGAAATGGGAGGTTAGTCTCACACGGCATAAATACTAGTCCCATTTCTCGCAAAATCCCTCTGACTCGCTGCTAGAATAGTTCCTTTGCTCATGAAAAACGGGTCAGCAGAAAAAAAAAAAAAAGGAAATGCGGGTGGCCCTGAAGGTTACGCTTCTGACAAATCCGCAGTGATATCCATGAAACAGGCGGGAAATTGGTGATGGATTGACCTCACGCCATCTCCTAATTATCGGGTATTGTCTGCGTGAAGGTCAATTCTTTTCGCTCTATCTTCCTGCATGTGTGTGCTTATACGGAGATTTATCCGTCGATTTGTGCCCCCCAATAATGAGCTTCTAGTTCGTTCCATCAAGCAGCGGGGTGGCATAAATGCTTAGTTACCCGCACAGAGAGCTTATTTCTTACAAGTGGAGCGCGTAGATTATATGCCTGGTCCTGGATATAGGACTGATTCATTGATCAAGCTTCTGAAAATTCGTTTTATTCCTGTCTTCTGACTTCCGGCTCAGCTGGTTAGCAGGTTAACATGATTCCAAACAACTCCTTCAAATAGCGCGAACACCAGTCTTTAAAGTTTTAAACGTCCAAATTTCCTGCGTAGTACAACGTCTATAAATGTCTCCTAATATGCACACAAAAAAAATCATCCGTTTGCAATTGAAATTATGGGCGTGCTTCGATAAAATTTGAAAGGAAGATTGGGTGAAATCAAACCTTCTCTTCCGACGACACAGCGCAAGCCTAAATTTCGTTTGTCTGTAGAATGAAACGAACGAGTGACAATTTCATACCAGATAGCTAGAATTCGTCCGAATTTGAATAATGAAACAAAACTTTGATGTCGATGATGTTGCTTCTGTGGTCATGGTTGGGAATCTCATGGGCTCCATTCGAGTGATCAAAAGCTATTTTTAGACACTCCGTGGAAGACCCGGTGGTCCCGAGTGTGCCATTTTGAGCACCTGGCATTATCTGAGAGATTTCTTGCGAACTGTTGCAGGGCACGAGCAAAGACGTATCGACCAAACAGGGCTTTCCTTTCCAAACCACTGCCTGCAATGGTTTTGCCCCCTATGGTCTTCCATTGGGACGGAAGAATTATTAGTACGGAACTTTGACCACGGCATTAGTTTGGCAGTCGAAAACTTTTTTCTTTAACCTTTTTCGCAAATAAGAATGAACCCCGTACTCTTTTGCTTGGAGAAAGCTTCAAGTACTTTAAAAACAAGAAAAATCGTTTGTTCAGTCGAGGTTTAATCTAGTAAAACGCTGCGTGCTGCCAAAGTTCAAGGCAAAATCCGCGTTTGCCTAAGGCAGAATGGTAGAATTTACAAAACGTTCTCAAGTACAGTATAAAGCTTCTCGGAAATAAGCAGCAAACCAACTGGTCTGAATTTTTGGGATACAGAATCACTGCTTTTCTGTAACAACTAACCGAAGTGGAATGTTTCTTGTCGGACTTGCTCATACGCTAAAAAGTGCCACGAAGGAACTGGAATTTTCTCGATAGAGAATATCGCAATTCCGGCAAATTGTCAAAGATAGAATCTCGACGCATTCTCCATCAAATCAGTTTTAGGTTTTAACTTTTGAGTCCAGAATCTTACTCCCAACAAATGTGTTAAGTTTCCAAGAAGTACGCCCCAAAAAGTAGTGGATTAAGATCTGTACTTTGAAATGAAAACTTAATCTATTCATTGTAAGAGGACCAAAAGAAGGTTCATTTCAAGAAGAGCCTTGTTAACCGGAAGGGTCGAAAAATAAATTGAAAACAACTTCTCCAAACACACCGGGTGATCTATATTTGAATCATACCTCAATTTTGTGAACATGTTTGACTGTTCTGAATATACGATTTTTTGTTTTGTTTTGACATCCCTCAACTCAATTGGTTTTTCAGGATAAAATTAAAAAGCAATAACTCACCATTCTCTTCATCCGATTCGTCAACGGAATTTTCCGCAGTGTGGTTCTCCTCGTCTGACACTGAGTCGGCGCCGAGTGTCGTCGGAGCGTCACCTTCTTGCGACATGGCGGATTCCTGCTCGACAGCTGCAGCGACACTCGTCAGGGATGAATCGGTGGCAGCTGAGATCTTATCGTCGCGTCAAACAGCAGAGATTGACTTCCTCTTTTTGTTTAAATTCCGTGACGAAGCTGTCACGAAATACGATCGAAACGCCTTTTTGAAACAAAATGAAAAACACATCTTTATTTTAATGACTAAATATCCAAGAACTTCTCGCGAATTATCCACTGACGAGAAAATGTCGATGTTCAGCGAAACAATGTGCAACACACAGTACTTATTGCGAATAATACAAGTAATGAAACTTAGTTTCTCCTGCGCTGAAGAAAAATGAAAGTAAACTTCCACACATTTTTACGCCTTTCTTATTTTATCGAGATCGAAAACAGGAAATGTAACTCTTGGCGTTCAACTCACTGGAACGAACATATTATCCCTTCAGGAAAGAATAATTACCAGTCATGAACTTGGAATATGAACTGTTCGCAGCCATTATTGGTGCCATGAGTGGTTCGTGGTATTAATATAATGGTCAAACAAAAAAACAGCTGAAAAGTCTGTGATTTATCTTGAAATTTGCTTATAACTCTTACAATATTTAAAAATTATACCTGGGTCGTTGCACGAATGTTAAGGATATCATGGAAGTAAGCATCAAGTGAAAACCAATACTGTTTAAATCATTGTTCAAGTTCGGGAAATTTTGGGATGTGGGGGAATGAATAATTAAGTTTCGAATCACGTAATTTTTCACATATCATTAATCAGAAAACCGAAGATTTGGCGAACACATCAATAACATTTCGGCGCAGAACGTCATAAATCCGGCGAATCTGTTGCTGTTCGCTAATTTTTGAAATGAAATCATATTACTTTTCGTTTAAATTTAAAAACAAATGAAACTTGAAAAAAGCAATCGGAAGTATACATGTACAAAGGATATTCAGGACTACTCAGCGAATGTCATTTCGTGCCAAGTTCTGAAAAATCCACAGAGATGATTTCAATGAGAAGGGGAACAAAATTCCAGTATAAAAAATGTTCAACAGCCTTATTTAGGAATATTTGGTACATGGGTTTTCGATTACTGTACTTGAATATACAAGTCTTGAATTACAATTAAGAGAACCAAGACGTGGTGCAGAATCAAGGAACTTTCCAGTTCCACACATCTAACATAAGGCCAAACGTTTACACAGATGAAATGTCTAGATTACTATTGAGTCTGGATGTATGAAACCAAAATATAAAATTCTAAATTTGGCCCTGCTCACGACAGAGAGAAAAAGCAGCTTTGGTCTACTCATGACTGCATCTGATAATTGCACCTTTTTACACGCTTTTTTTATGTGTTTATTCCGGAAAATTGTAGCTAATCTAATCCATAATTTGAAAAAGCACATCAGCGGAATCAGTCGCGTGGCAGTTGGAAAGATTGCAGGCATAAAGCGCAGTGGCTATTATTTAAAGATCAAAATCGTCGAAAAAATTGTCAGCTGTCTCGACATGTTTGGTAAATAATTAGTTCTAATCGAAACATCTGATCTCTCGAATCAATTTCTATCTTCATGATGGCCTCGAAATTACGCACGAAAAAACAGAACACAGCGATAATGCTTGTTTTAAAAATTATGGTTGACTTCTAGCGTGGCAAATGTTTCCTAGAATAATTCTCAAAATGCCATCTGATTGCATTTTTGCATGTCCTCATCGTGAACCGTATCAGAGCGAGACAAACCACTGAATACGACCACTCATGTGGTTCCGAAAAACTCAGGTCAGGATTTTTATCTCTTATCTGCCGCATCGCAGAATGTTTTCATTAGCCCTCGCGTCACTGACGTGAGTCGTGACGTGACACAGTTTCATGGACAAACCAAGGACAAAAGGGAAAGATTATCACGGCACTGGTTACAGCAGGTCAAGTACTGACCCAGCCATCGTCAAACCGAGCGAGATCGCAGCTCGTTCGCAGAATAAGCGTTCTCTCGGTAATATCAGAGGGAGACGATATCAACGCATGATTGTCGTGGATATTCCTTCCTTGAAAGCAGGATATTCTTACGCACAAAAAATGAGAATAGTGAGGAAGAGATACTGTATACAAAGGTGCATAATCACGATGGTACCGGGGAGTTTGCGCCGCGTCAAAGTCGATCGACATTGATCAAACATGTTGGTTTGCACAGAAAAAAAAACGGAGAGGGAATGCAATGTACTCAGAAATTGTTCGAGAAAAAACAAGTCGACATATTCATTGACCAACGTTCTTTTGAAACACCATCAATTTTTCCCGAACAAATCATTGATGAGTTTCAGAGAAAAATTTGGAACCTTTATAAATTCTCAAGGATTTCACCGGAAAATGGCTTGAAACTTATGAAACTCAAACCATCGAACAAATAAGCAAAAAAAAATCTCGACATCTGCATCAACCAACGTTTTTTGAAAGACCATCAAATTTTTTCCCGAATAACAAATCACTGAAAATTTTGTAAAGGAAAAATGAGGAACCGTTTCAAACTATGATTCAAACTAATAAAACTATATTTTTATCACATGCTGCAAAGGATCTATAGTTCAATAATGGCAACAACTGAAAATCGAATATCTAAAAAACCATCTTCTCGCGTCCATAAATACGTACAGTATTTCAATCAGAACACATAGAATGCATTCGAAATTATGAGACATGCTTAGTTTACTCGAATTCTCCCAAACCTTCAATTTTTCCTTAATTTACAGTATTNTGAAAGTAAACTTCCACACATTTTTACGCCTTTCTTATTTTATCGAGATCGAAAACAGGAAATGTAACTCTTGGCGTTCAACTCACTGGAACGAACATATTATCCCTTCAGGAAAGAATAATTACCAATCATGAACTTGGAATATGAACTGTTCGCAGCCATTATTGGTGCCATGAGTGGTTCGTGATTTTAATATAATGGTCAAACAAAAAAACAGCTGAAAAGTCTGTGATTTACCTTGAAATTTGCTTATAACTCTTACAATATTTAAAAATTATACCTGGGTCGTTGCACAAATGTGAAAGATATCATGGAAGTAAGCATCAAGCGATGAAGACCAATACTGTAAAAATCATTGTTCAAGTTCGGGAAATTTTGGGATGTGGGGGAATGAATAATTAAGTTTCGAATCACGTAATTTTTCACATATCATTAATCAGAAAACCGAAGATTTGGCGAACACATCAATAAAATTTCGGTGCAGAACGTCATAAATCCGGCGAATCTGTTGCTATGCGCTATAATTTTCAAAACGAAATCATCTTATTTTTCGTTTAAATTTAAAAACAAAGGAAACTTGAAAAAGCAATCGGAAGTATGCATGTACAAAGGATACAGTATTCAGGATTGCTCAGCGAATGTCATTTCGTGCCAAGTTCTGAAAAATCCACAGAGATGATTTCAATGAATAAAAAATGTTCAACAGCATTATTTAGGAATATTTGGTACATGGGCTTTCGATTACTTGAATATACAAGTCTTGAATTACAATTAAGAGAACCAAGACGTGGTGCAGAATCAAGGAACTTTCCAGTTCCATGCATCTAACTTTAAGACCAAACGTTTACACAGATGAAATGTCTAGATTACTATTGAGTCTGCATGTATGAAACCAAAATCTAAAATTCTAAATTTGGCCCTGCTCACGTCAGAGAGAAAAAGCAGCTTTGGTCTACTCATGACTGCATCTGATAATTGCACATTTTGACACGCTTTATTTTTTATGTGTTTATTCCGGAAAATTGTAGCTAATCTAATCCAAAATTTAAAAAAGCACATCAGCGGAATCAGTCGCGTGGCAGTTGGAAAGATTGCAGGCATAAAGTGCAGTGGCTATTATTTAAAGATCAAAATCGTCGAAAAAATTGCCAGCTGTCTCGACATGTTTGGTAAATTAGTTCTAATCGAAACATCTGATCTCTCGAATCAATTTCTATCTTCATGATGGCCTCGAAATTACGCACGAAAAAACAGTACACAGCGATGATGCTTGTTTTAAAAATTATGGTTGACTTCTAGCGTGGCAAATGTTTCCTAGAATAATCCTCAAAATGCCATCTGATTGTATTTTTGCATGTCCTCATCGTGAACCGTATCAGAGCGAGAAAAACCACTGAATACGACCTCTCACGTGGTTCCGAAAAAGTCAGGTCAGGATTTTTATCTCTTATCTGCCGCATCGCAGAATGTTTTCATTAGCCCTCGCGTCACTGACGTGAGTCGTGACGTGACACAGTTTCATGGACAAACCAAGGACAAAAGGGAAAGATTATCACGGCACTGGTTACAGCAGGTCAAGTACTGACCCAGCCATCGTCAAACCGAGCGAGATCGCAGCTCGTTCGCAGAATAAGCGTTCTCTCGGTAATATCAGAGGGAGACGATATCAACGCATGATTGTCGTGGATATTCCTTCCTTGAAAGCAGGATATTCTTACGCACAAAAAATGAGAATAGTGAGGAAGAGATACTGTATACAAAGGTGCATAATCACGATGGTACCGGGGAGTTTGCGCCGCGTCAAAGTCGATCGACATTGATCAAACATGTTGGTTTGCACAGAAAAAAAAACGGAGAGGGAATGCAATGTACTCAGAAATTGTTCGAGAAAAAAAAAGTCGACATATTCATTGACCAACGTTCTTTTGAAACACCATCAATTTTTCCCGAACAAATCATTGATGAGTTTCAGAGAAAAATTTGGAACCTTTATAAATTCTCAAGGATTTCACCGGAAAATGGCTTGAAACTTATGAAACTCAAACCATCGAACAAATAAGCAAAAAAAAATCTCGACATCTGCATCAACCAACGTTTTTTGAAAGACCATCAAATTGTTTCCCGAATAACAAATCACTGAAAATTTTGTAAAGGAAAAATGAGGAACCGTTTCAAACTATGATTCAAACTAATAAAACTATATTTTTATCACATGCTGCAAAGGATCTATAGTTCAATAATGGCAACAACTGAAAATCGAATATCTAAAAAACCATCTTCTCGCGTCCATAAATACGTACAGTATTTCAATCAGAACACATAGAATGCATTCGAAATTATGAGACATGCTTAGTTTACTCGAATTCTCCCAAACCTTCAATTTTTCCTTAATTTACAGTATTTTATTAATCCCGTTATGTTTCGTGTCAGCATTTCACCTGCTGTTGGAAAATTCACTGAATCCCCAGCTTGTTCGTATCACTGTCCCCCGACAGCAGGATTAGTGAAGTACCCTGCATTTCTCTTGAGTACCGAATAAATTATCCAACGACGGAATTTTCTGAAAGGAACCTGTCACACCTTGGTTTGAACCCTGCTGGTAAGGTACTGAGGAGACTCGCTCAGCAGAGCGGGAATTTTTCCGACCCCTTTCTCAGAAAATGTTCGTATCACTATCGT